ATTGAATCAAATTTAAAAACAAACTGTATATTTAGATTTGTATCAATTTTACAAAATAACGACTTGAGCAACCATTAATAATTTGTTGTGGGAGGGTTTTAGAATGAATTCATTCCTTTTATGAAACATATATTTTCTATATTTAAGCCTGATGTATATTATGTATAGAAATCAATAGAATTAAAACAAGTCTATACAGATTACTTATTGATTCATTAGTCTCCCCTTTCAATTGTTACCTGTATATTTCCCTCATGGTGGGGGGACAATAATAGGTGCTAATGACTATTAATATTATGTGTTAGGTTTGTTAAATATTAACTGCATTGTTTTCTGTCTATTCAACTTCTACCATCATGACTTGTACTCCCGCTTTGATTGATCTTTTGGTGTTTGTAGGATTTTCAAACGATGGCAGATCAACCCAATTCTGTACTTTCTGTAAGAGGTTTAACCCTTTTTCGTGCTTTAATTTTGGGAAGACCTGTTCTCCATAAGGTTGGTTAGAGAGCTGGAATGACAGACCATAGTAAAAAAAAAAAAGCCACTCTAGCCTTATAATCCATATCTAATGCAGTGGACACATTAGCCGAATCGTTCGGCCGAATCTATCGGAGCCGAATTTTATTCGGCCGAATGGGTGGACACACTAGCCGAATGCTTCGCCCGATTCAACCTGTCGATTGCATCACCTTTCACGTCACATGATTAAACATGGCGGCGTCTATGTCTTCAATCTATCACGTGACTTCTCGATATGAGTGGTGATTGGCTAATGAATTCTATATTCGGCCGAATGCTTCGGTGAAGCGGACACACCAGGCGAATATAATTCGGCCGAATATATCAAACCTCTTTGATTCGGGCGAATCATTCGGCCGAATGACAGTGGACACACTAGGCAAATTTCGACGCCGATTGAATCGGCCGAATCGTTCGGCTAGTGTGTCCACCGCTTAAGTGTTATCGTTTTAATGCACATTATCCTAATATATTATGTGTTTCAATGTCTCAGAAACATAACAGTAGCTTGCTTTATCAGGAGTGTGTCCAGAGGGAGGGTCTGGGAGGTCTAGCCCCCCCACCCCCGCTTGCTTGCTCAAAGTATATTTATTTTCTCCTACATTCATTGAAATAATGTGGAACAAACACATTTAAAAGGCATTGCCATTGTTGTTTAGTCTTCACTCCACGCTAATCCTATAAATGTATGCACCAAAATAAAGAGAAATAATGTCTCAGAGCATCTGATTTAATAAAAAATCTCAGGTAACCCCCTAGACCTCACACCAAACTTGAAGTCATATTCACCACACCCCCACTCAAATTACTGAACACAAATCTGCTTATAAAGCCATCAATTTAATTTTCTAACAGTTCTGGAAATAAGTCAAGCAATAATTTAAACATTCAACTACTCTGGACAATAGTTTCATGTAAAGAAAGAAAACAAATGCTGGCACTAAACAAAAATAATCATTTAAACTTTAATTAAGATCATTCACTGCTCTTGTATCATCAAAACAGCTCTTGCTAAGCGGTGGACACACTAGTCGAAGCATTCCGTTCAATCATTCGGTGCCGAATTGCAGCCAAATTCATTCGACTGAATGAGTGGACACACTAAGCGAATTCTCTGTCTTATTCACCAGTCAATTGCATCACCTGTCACGTTGCCATGCGGACTGTCTTCAAACAATATGATTTCTCAACATCAGTGGTGATTGGTTAATGAACTCTAAAAATCGGGCATATGCATCAGCGAACCAACACATTAGGCGAATATATTCAGTCGAATTTTCATATATCAAACTTGTTTGATTCGGCCTAATTTTTTGACACTGGACAAACTAGGTGAATTTCGGCGACCATTGATCTGGCTAGGGTGTTCACCACTTTATCAAACACTGACAATAGAAGATGGTAGTGTGAAATCAACAAACAAATTTCAACAGCAGAATTCTCCTTTAGTATGATTATAGACATTACCATTTCATTTTTTCTGCCATGTTGAAGTTTTAATATTTAGTATAAAATTGAAAACATGGCCGTCATAATAATGTTACTGCAATAAATGCAGACTTTTTACAAATGTCCAACAAAAATTGATCTTTATGTTTAACAGAGAGAGAGAAATGGGGATTAACGTCCACACGACACAAACTAGGTCACTTCAGGACTGATATATGGTTCATTTTACTTCAGTAATTTGCTATAATGAATCTATACTTGGAGTTTCATCACTCAATTATAACCAAATTTATCGTGCCCCAAAGCATCAACCAATCAGATTACTTATCTCTGCTTACCGTAAGCAGACAATGTTTATTATCAAAGTAGATCAAGGCATTCAGCTAATAAACGCTTACACCAAGTTTGAACATTCTACCTCAATTAGGAGAGTTATTGTGTTCCAAAGCCTCGACCAATCAAATTGCTTATCACTCTGCTTACCATAAGCAGAAAGTGCTCATTATTGAACTTAGTCAAGGTATTGATGTGATAAAACTATATACCAAGTGTCCTCACTCTCTCTTAATTAGAACTATAGTTATCGTGTCCCAGAGCATCAACCAATCAAATTGCTTATCTCTGCTTACCCTGCGCAGAAAATTCTCATCTTCTAACTCCGAACTCAATCAAAGCACTCACCTAATAAACACCTATGCCAAGTGTGAACATGCTAGCTCAATTAGAATTAGAGTTATTGTGTTCCAAAGTCTCGACCATTCATATTGCTTATCACTCTGCTTACCCTGCGCAGAAAATGCTCATTATCGAACTTAGTCAAGGTATTGATGTAACAAAACTATACACTTAATTAGAACTAAAGTTATTGTGTCCCAAAGCATCAACTAAGATTATTGTGTCCCAAAGCATCAACCAATCAAATTGCTTATCCCTGCTTACCCTAAGCAGAAAATGCTCATCTTCGAACTCCATCAAGGCATTGACCTAATAAACACCTACACCAAGTTTGAACATTCTAGCTCAATTAGAAGGAGAGTTATTGTGTCACAAAAAGTGTGACGGACAGACAGACAGACGGAAAAGAGAGATAGATGAACCCATTTTAATAGTCCCCTGCTTTCTTCGAAAGGCTGGGAACAAAAAATCTTAAAAGGGTATATTAAAGTGTTTCTTACAGTATAAGGAGCACAATACTGTGTCACTTTTCCGGTTGAAAACACATTGATAATCATGGACTAATTGAAGTCTGCAAGGTACAGTGAACTGGGCTGGTCCCTTTCAAATGTAGCAAGAATTCTGTCTTAGGTTTGGATAATTAAGGTGCCTCAGGGTTTAAATTCAAGCAAGGTCTCAATGCAATCGACCAATACAAAACTGATACAGAAGTATCTCCACCTAAACTACATTAATTTCCAACTATCAAGGTTTGTTACATACACCCAGATATGACAATATCAACACTGAAAATCTAAGATTATGCAAATGATCCCAAATCATGCTGTAGAGAAATACAATCCACCCTGACAAAATACGTAAATATTTTAGATCACCACAAATCATTCCAAATCAACTTACATCAATTTTGGAGTTCATCTCAAATCAATGTTGAAGATCAATACTGGAGATCATCATTCAAATCAATACTGGAGATCATCTCATTTCAAGATTGGAGATCACCTCAATTCAAGATTGGAGATCATCCCAATTCAAGATTGGAGATCATCCCAATTCAAAACTGGGGATCATCTCAAACCAATAGTAAAGATCACCACAAATTGACCATTTTAAATAATCACCAAAAAGTATGCTGCAGACCAATTCCACACATCACACACCATACTGCAGATCACACAATCTGATTAAAATACAGATCTATAGATCTGACAAGTTGTACTCGAAGGTCATGTCAGGGGTCATAGGAGCGGCTTTTGACCCTTTTAGACATTGATTAATCAATCAGCGTTGGCGTTTCTATTTCTTTACCCACAGTTCCGTGCATGGCACGCCAAGAAGTCACCGTAACAGACTGTTTCATTGGCTTATCCCTCACTTCAACCAAAATGCTGGTAATATAACAACTCTTCCAGATCATAGTATAGTAAAGACAAGTAAAACGAAATTTTGAACTATAAAAAACGAAATAGGATCTGTGTTTTAATCAGATTGCAGATCACAAAGTATATTGAAAAATGGCAAGAATTATACTGGTTAAGATATTGATAACTATAAACCATACTAATGGTCTTTTAAAAGGCAGATAACGACGGAAGTATGAGATTATAAACATTTTCATGATTGTAAAAGAGACATGACAGTGCCAGAACTCAAAGCGACAAATAATACAAACTATAGATAGCCCCTTGCCCTGAACTATGTGCATACATAAAGGATAATGTTATATTTTTGTCATATTTGACAATAGCTATCTTAAAATTTTGCATTTCGGCTGAATATATTGGCTTCAACACAATGTAACAGAAAATAAGTAAACCCCTAAAGGAGTAATTCTCTTTGATTTACAACAAAATAAAGTATTGAATTTTTGTCTTAAAACTACTGAATACAAAATCAGCAATTGACAATTTCAGTCAGAAGACCAAAAACATTTAGTGTAATAGTTCTAAAAATTTCATTCAAGGTTGTCATATAGAAAGGGATGACCTGCGGTCAAACAAAAATTAATCAGATTTAGTGGAGTCTTTAGACATACATGTGAAAAGAAAAAATGTTCAGTATGACCTTGCATTAAACAATAGATCACCTTTAAAAACTACTGATGTTTATCGTGCCCTAGCTTAAATTAGTGCTGCTATACTATTTCTTTCTCTGTACATTTAAACCTGTTTCTTAATCGCTGGACTATAAAGAATCTAACCTGTCAAGCGTAACATTTTTTCGTTATGGCCTAACGATTTTATCCTCATTCAGCTACCTGTGTATGAATGTATTATTATTAGCTGACAGTGTGGGCATGGAAAGAAAACCTGTTTGACTGGTTTCGGCTATAAATGTATTCAGCTGTATTGTTAAGAAGTTGTGTACAGTCGGCTAGATATGAACAATATAATTTCGTGAAAGAGCTAACAACACCCTAAAATACAACTAACACCGTTATATCTGGAATAAGACATATTTTAGGGTTTATATAGGAAACAGAAGGAGGAAATAAGGTGGAAATATCAAGAGGACATTTTGGAATATAAAAATAAGAATTTACTTTGGTAATACGACAAAATGATGCATCAGAATTATAACCCAGAGACAGCCAAAATCTACCATTTCAGATACATGAGAGAATATCGTGCTGTTGCTGTTTTATGGGGATTACTGTCAATAATTTGGTGTATACTTAATTTGGTCGCTTTCGTTCAGCCACAATGGATCGGAGATAGTCCAACAAGTCCTGGATACGGACATCTTGGTGTTTACCAACATTGTTATCCAGATACAGCCCAAGGAATTTACATTTGCAGTGGATCCTTCGTGGATTTCAAATCAATCTTAAATGATTCATTCAGAGCATCCACATTTTTCGTTGGAGTATCTGCTTTGTTAATGTTAATAGTTGTTGCTGCTCTTCTCCTCTTCTTCTGTTTCCGCAAAACTTATGTCTTCGTCTTCTGTGGAATTCTTCAACTTGTCTCTGGTATGTATTTTGTATTTTGTTTTTACTTTATATACTTCATACATTTAATGTTTTTATCTTTATTTTAATAACTATTAACGCAATCATACAATAATTCTAAATGTGAAGATGGAATTAAAAAACATTTATATTTGTACACAAAGTATTTTTTTATTCAAGAAATATACAAGATAATTGATGGACTGTTAAAAATATTAGGTCACAATTTTATGGCAATCAAAACAATGGTGTCATGAATAACATTTATTTTTGAAAAAAATTTACAGATTTTGTGTTCGACAAAAATCCATACAAATTTAGTTTATATAAAGGGGCATAAGTAATTATAACTAATATTTTGAATTAGTTTGTATTCATACAATAATGTCGGCCATTTTTGAATAAGACTTCTGGGATTTGGGAGTGTCAATAGAAAGTATTAATATACCACCCACATGTAAATACCTACGCCAATATTAACAACAAAAGAAATATAATCTTTATGAAAGGTCTCATAATACTAAAGGTAGTCATCCTTGTTAATGATGCCAAGCCCTTTAAATAATAAGATTAAAAATGATTTGAAATATTTTATACTATTTTATGGAGCAAACCATTTAAAATGGCTTCACATTTATTTAATTGACAAAGATTATTAAAAACTTTATGGTTTTTATTGTCTGTTATGAACTGGCTTGTCAATGCTATGAAACTACATGACTTTTCAGATTTTAGAGCCATGGTTACATCCTACACAAAAGACTGTCTCAGACTTTACTAACTAGAAAGCTACAAGACCAATAAATGCAATACTTTATAGTCTACTAAGTTGTAAGAGACAATTGGTAGAAGGCCAGGACGATAGTCTTACTTTTTTTTAGCTTAAACATTGTAATGCTATAAGTAAATTATGTGGAGGTCTTTGTGCAATATTTGTACATGGTCTTGTTGCAATATTTGTAGACTAGCAATTAGTGTTATTGTTCTGTATACACCTTTGTAGAGTATAAAACGACATTCCTTACCAATAGTATTAAAGGATTATTGTATTATCAAACACAATTAACTGATATTGACTGGGGATTAAATACATAGGTGTATCATTAAGATAGTTACATCGATAATACCCACTTTACTAATAGTGTACAGTACATAAGTTAAGTCTTATTACAAATTAAACATGTATTCACATGTACAAAACCGAATATACACTCTAAACACACGACTTTAAAATCAAGTACAAATATGAATATTTTTTAATGAAAAACTTTCCGTCAATATCAAAGATTCATTATTATCGCTTATAAACTTAAAGACACCTTTATATATTTGGACTAAGAACATATTCAAACAAATTTGTTTACCAATAGGTTGCTTCAAATCCCTCTCAAAAACATTTTAATAGCAACAAACTATCACAAGCTGTAAAAATCTAAATTCTGGAATTACCCACTGCCAACTCGTATTGTTCTCACAAACGCTAGCCATTCAATCTACACATACCAAGTGCTCACTATGCCAATTGAGCCGACAAGCCAACAGGTTGCCAGTTAGTGATACTCAGATACCATTACATTTTGGTCCTGTGTGCGCCCCGTGGGTGTTTATTTTCAATGAATGCAATATTCTTCTCGTAAGATTGGGTGTCCCTACTTTAAAAAATACCAAATTCGTCATACTTTTATTGGAAATAACTACCCCAGAAATACTTTCGTGGAGATGCATCTTTAATACATTTTTATTTTTAAAAAGAAGTAAATTAAGTACAACCGTGGGATCAAACACATGACTTAACATAGATGTCACACTTGTATTAGACCAGTTGGGACGCTCAACGCTTCACCACCTTGGTACTTCAAATTTCTTATATAAAGAAAGTATACCATAAATAACCCACAACCCAGACTGCACAAATATTTACTATTGTACATTTTACATTTAAACAAGACAGTGCAAGACTCTTATAATGTACATGTAAGAAATTTTGTCTACACATGAGACCAATTACCAGCACACAGGCAAATAAAACAGCAATTTTTCTTTTTTCAGTCTTTCGTCACTGTGCCCATGAAATTTATGTCAGAACAGACCATTTAAGAAACTTGAACATATTTTGTTAAACGACCAACAAAAAATATAGCAAAAGTGACATAATTTTTTTTAACATATTTTATTTAGCATATGCAATCATTATAATCTTAGTACACAGTATTTGCAAAAGCCTTTGATGACTGGATAGTTTACACTGTAAATTATATTATACATGTCATAAGATAATATTTTAACACTAGCAGGAAATCTGGCTTAACCCGGCAGTCTGGGGCCCAAATTCGAAGGCCTAAAACATTCATGGGGTCATGCTTGTTAATTTGATACCACATATATGGCGGGGGTGGATCGCTCCGACGAAGCATGATGGGCTAACAGACATATACAAAAATACACACTGAGATCTTAGATTTTATTTCTATAGAAGATAGATATAATAATTGTGTATCGGTAGTAGTCCGTGGGCCAGCAATGTAAATGTTTATCTAGTCGCTCCAATGTGATACATACCTGACCTGTTAGAAAGCATGTAACAGAACCAATGACAGTTCGAATTCGGAAAGTGGACTGAAAACACCCGTCTTCATTAGCCGGTTGGGGAAGAAAAGTAGGACGTTTAACCCCAAGACATTTCATATTTTCTATTCAACCACATTACATTCACCAGTACCCATAGCAGAAATTTAGAAACCTGTTTCTTCTTCATGCTAAAGGCACATCAGTACTATTGCAGTTATACATATATAACACACTTTCTCAATACAATCTGATTAAAACACAGATCCTATTTCGTTTCGTTTCTTATAGTTCAAAATTTCGTTTTATTTGTCTACTACACATAGCCTGCGTTTTGGATGGCATGAGGGATTAGCCATTGAAACCATCTGTTATGCGACTTCTTGGCGTGCGGATGCACAGAACTTGGGTAAACCACTAAAAACGTCAACGCTGATTGATTAATCAATGCCTGACATCATAGGGTCAAAAAAAGGCATTCGTACGACCTCGGACACAACCTTTTACTACAACCGGTCAAATCTTCATGTAGTGTAGGCCATCAAAAGTATAAAAAACGAAATGAAATATAGATCTGTATTTTAATCAGATTGTTTGTCAATAATAACAAACACAACGGACGTCAACAAACAAAAATACAATCCAAACAACTTCAACAGTTTCATGGACGTTTTTGCATGCGACTGAAATGGCAGCATGATAAAGAGTAACCTTAAAATGTCACATGAACAAATGACATACTAATAGATGAAAAATTATAACAGTATGATGAATATTTTATTTAATAGGCTGGAAAAATACTAGTTCAAACCGAATACATATATTTAATGGGAATAAACGTGCGACTGAATTGCCAGCATGATGGAAGTTTGATTTAATAGTCTGAAGTAGGGGGAGGGGGAATCATGATGGCTAAGTGGGTAAGACGCTGGCTCGCTAGCCTGGAGGTCGGGTGTTTTGTCCCTGCATTGGCCGAGAAAGTTCATTCTGATTTTCCGGCGTGGTTCCCCCTTGTCAGTGATGCAGGACGCAGGGCCTGACAAGGACAGCTGTTTAGTCTTTTGGATTGAACGAAAAACCAAGGCCCAGTGTACACATTAGCGGGCAAGTAAAAGATCCCTTGACAGTTGGAATTCGATATAAGAGTAGGCTGTAGTGCCGCTGTCCGGGCAAAATTTCCCTCATAGCACACTGTATGGCATATGCGCGTCTTCATTAGCCCAGTTCGGAGCAAACAGTAGGACGTTAAACCCCATTTCATTTCATTTCTGATGTAGGGGACTAACTAAAAGTACATCAAATAGTTGGGGTTTAAAATATCATGAATCCGATTATTTCATTTGAATATGAAAGGGTAGCTGTAATGGGATACAGACAGTATCAGCTGTTGTGTTTTCATAAATGTCTCCATGTAATCAGAAATTTGAGATCTGATGAAGTCAAACCAATTTGATAGGATTCTTCCTTATGATGGATGAAACAATCAACAATCTATGAAATATTACAATAGATCCAAGAACTCTCACTCATAGAAGGTTCACAAGAAATTCTCGACATACATGTACAACGGCAATCTGTTTCACAGAGGATTACGGAAGTCTTCTAATATCTCTGTAAAAGATGACTACCCTCAACACGTGACGTCTCATTAGGCGGCGTTAACCATTGGCTCAATGGCGCATGCATTGTTTACATAAGACTTTACTGGTTCGGGCAGAATAGAGTCTTTTACTCATTTTAATACCCATTTTCACTAATTAGGAAATAATTTTTTATCTACAAACACGTCGAACGTCTTTATTTTTCTAATACATAAAAAAAATGTTTTAGAATTTAATTTGTCGGAGGAAAAAAGTTAATATTTGTGGCTCATTAAGTTGCATCGATGTCATCCTTATCAGTGATTATTGCGTCCTAGCAAATATTCACTGCTGATCAGTGTGGAAATGTGGGTGTATAAAAACATCAGGAATTAATGACCCAGGTGTATAATAAGATGATTTATTTTTTGGTTTCAGCTGTTTTCATGTTCTTGTCATGTGTCATCTTTCCCAATGGTTGGTCACACGCTGAAGTAAGGACGATCTGTGGTTCAGATGCTAATGAATACAGATTAGGTGAATGTCAAGTTCGATGGGGCTACATCCTAGCTATTCTAGGAATCTTTGACGCTTTGGTCTTAGGTGTCCTTGCTTTTTTCCTGGCCACCAAACGAGCAAAGATTGAAATTTATTCTACCAGTGGAACAGTTACAAAATGTAAGTATAATTATTAATGATTATTAAGGAGGGGACTTCAGTATCTGGAATAGATCTGCCCCATGTTTCATACTGTAGAACCAATCGACACCTACTTTGTCAATCATAATGGCTGCTAAGTTAAAGAACAGCATTATGTAAAATGGTATATGCTTGAAACTTGAAGTAATTTTGTGAATATGCTTCCGTCTCCCACCTTGCGTTATCAGCATTCAACAATGATATCTAGGTGGTTGATTATAGGCTTGACATGTAAATAAATGTCTAAATAATAGTTTATATATCATTTGAGGCCAAAATAAAAACATGAAATAGGCAGGTTTTGCTCTTACATAATGCATCTTTAAGATAAAACATAAAAATTGATCAAACTCAAGTACCATAAGTTACACAACCAATCCATGAAGAAGGCATTCAAAAAACCTATAGAACTGTAACAACGTACAATGGATGTTCAAAACAATATTGATTATACAATCAACAAAAGTGATGTCAATTTTAAAATAAATACATGCAAATTAAGAAATCAATTAAGAATCAGCTCTAATTGTCTCTACTCTAGCACAGTGTTAAAGTACAAAATTTTGTTCTAGAAAGAGTAAGCATACCCAATCCTGTGGCTAACATGACTCCTACCACTATATAGCCAACTGGAGCAATTGTTTGCAGAGTATTCATTTAGACCAAATAACTAACAAATCTGTTATTTATAAGAGTGGCTGGATCATCCGGTAGATCTGTATAGTTACTGGATCAAACAATGATGCCGGCAGAGAGTAATAGATATTTAAGAATCCACACACGACAGCAGTACAAAAACAGACTTGAAATTTATAACTGACTTTAATTTGTTTAACTCGAGTTTAACTCGGGAAATTATAAAATTTCTATCAGCCCATGTCAATACAAAATCTAGGTTTGAAATTTCATTTCTATATCTGTTAAAAGTGTATTAAATTAAAAATTATAAAATATGAGTCAATATGGTCAAAAGTCAAATTAATCTTTTTAAATCTTGATCCTCTGTGTGAGATGACAATCTTTGTTAAGGGCAGTGGGTCTTGCAAGAAGCAGTGTTTTTTGATGTTCGAATGGGGCCAAAAAATTAAGTCCAGTGTACATGTCACGTTGGCATACATGTAATAGAAACCATGACAGTGTTCTGTAGTGCTGCTTTCCGGACAGAATTCCCCTCATAGCAGACTGCACTCCATTAGCCTGGTTGGAGCAGAAAAGCATGACATTAAAACCCCATTTTATTTTATATTCCCTCCCGAAATACAGCTACCGATAGATGTATACGATTTGAGAGAATGCAGGATAACTGCACACCAGGACACAGACAAAACAAAGGATATAACTTACATCATATAAGAACAGCACAAATTATATAAGAATGTAGCACTAATGATATATTCTCAGCAAAAACAAACTTCAATATTACATTATACACCATGGCTTTGATTTATTATCACGTGGAGCCAATTACAAAGACACACCTGATAATTTTGTTTTATAGAATAATACCAAATTCCATACGATTATCTTTATTATATTTCAGCTGAATTAAATGGTTATTCCGAAACAGTTTCAAAGAGATCACTGCCAATTCAAGTTATGACTGTTCCTGATAATGAGGATCGTTACTCTGAGTACTCTCAGTCTCAAAGACAACAACCTAGAAATGGATTCCAGCTTTAAATCAGAAAAAATGCATGCAAAAATTTTATACATTTCGTAAAATCAAATTAACACTATCAAGATCTAGGGTTTTTAAATCCGACTTTTCCAACCATACAACCAAGGTAAGGTGGAACTGCCTGATTTAAACAGATGCAAAAGTTATAAAATCGGTATGAAGATATCTTTTTAATGTAAAAACTGTTTTTTTTATAAAGTTTTTTTTTTTCAGCTGCTACAGCCAAATAGATATATACACCACTAACGTAGATATATACAGCACAGAAAACATTGCTTTATAATTGATTTGCCTTATGAAAATCACTATGTAATTAGTGTATCATTTGCACACATCAGCATTACATATAACAGTTGATGCCTTATCATATAAAATAACTAAATGCAAATTTCACTCAAATTTTATTTTCATAGAATATTATTATTATCAATCATTTTAGCTATATAGCATAAATGAAATTATTTGTAACTGGATAACATAACAAGGACAGAAACCCATGACCATGTATTATTATGGTTTCCCCTCTATGACTAAAGAGTTCAACAAGTTAATAGAAAGCAAGAAATTAAAAAGTTTGAGTAAAAGTGAGTAATTATTAAATTTTTCACTCAAATTGAGTAAAGATGCCCATTGGTCTCGGAGAGTAAGTTACTAAGTGTACAAAAATTGTATTAAGTTTATTCAACAGTTATTTTTGAATTTGAAATAATAAATTTCACATACATCTACATATATTGGTCAATGAGAACACGTCTGATATAAAGGCAAGAGTTGTCATTCTAATATAGTGAATGAAGCATAATATTCATATTAATAGAATATAAGATTTAAAGATATTGTAGTTAGCCAAAGAAGATGCAACATGATTTAAGAGTCAACACAATAACTTTCCTGAACACCTGTCTTTCTGAATAGGAAAACTACATTGCTACAAGACTTTAAAACGCTGATAGTCAATTGCATTTAATTAAGAGAGCAAAACCAAACTTTTAATAGTAGAAAATCTCCGTTTGGGTTGGATAGGATTATAAATACCCGTCTTTCTGAATAGGAAAACTACATGACTAAACAATCCTAAAGCTGCTGATTGTCATTTGCGTTTAATTAAGAGAGCAAACCAAACTTTTAAAAGTAGATAATATCTCAGTTTGGATTCAATAAGATTACAAAAAGGACATCATTTTACCCAAATATTGTAGCTTGCAAGGGATTAAACATCCCTCAAATGACAATCAGCGGCTTGTATATTTACAACACGAAAATGTATAAAAATCCCTGTTTATTTTAGGTTTTACAAGACAACAAACTCAGAAAATCATGTATTTTTTAAATATTTCATAATATTTTCTTAGTGTATGTATAAACTATAATATTTACTTGTATATTAATTTTTATATTTCATAAATAAATCAAAACCCTTAGTTTTTCATTTATTATTTCTAATGCAACTGTTTGATCAAATTGTTTAAATATTCTTTTTCAAAATACTCAAAGATAGTGTAAAGATTGGCTTTATAAATTTGTGTTCTAGATATTACTTCTGGTAAAATTTTTATATATGTTTTCTTGTGTAAATTTTAGTTATATTTTCATAAATTGTTTAAAACCATTATTTTATAATATAAGTGTATTTCTACAGTTACTAACATGACATACCGACTAATGTTTCTATCAAATGCATTGTCCATGACTATCAATATATATGTATTAGAAAAAAGTCTTTTTTAGAAACCCATATTTTTAGGACTTAATTTTTCTTTCTTCTGATAGATAATTGTATGCGCATTTCAAGAGATAGAATTGCAAAACGAAAAAATGAGACCCCATGTTTGATCCAGAAAAAAGCAGTGCCCCAATTAACTGTCAGGTTTTAGGCTACTCCCAATAAAGTATGGCAACATGTAAGAGCAAGAGGACCGCATCATGCATAAACAAAACACAAATCCACAGACAAGGCATACCACATAACAGAGATTGCAAACAAAGAAAAAAAACATTGAATCAAGGGAATGGATCCCTGGTCCAGCCGTAAGCATTCACATTTCATATTTGTACTGCAGTTACTGCTATCATTGTGATATATACCGCCAAATAATCATTGTTGTATACATTTATGTGTCATTGCTTTAACATTTCACCATTCTTAACAATTCTCTTCTAAGATACAGACTTTTTCCATACATGCTAAAAAATTTTTAAAAGATTATCTACCTTCGAAAAGAACGAAACTGAAAGAAACTATCGTAGCCCTCAATGTTTCATTGACTTTGATCCAGTAGCATACATGGCACAGTGACCCTTTCATGGCATATTATTCGAGCAAAGTGTTCACAGAAATTAGCACTTCCATATATTGCACTGAACAGCTTTGAATATGCTATGGGTCAACTCAAACAAGAATCTTCAAAACAAATATTCAACTCGACAAACAACAAACTGGATCTTGATCATTTTATGATCTCTTAAAATCGGTTCGCGACAATCTGCATTTACCAGATACATAAAAGAAACTAGAACTGCGAAGCAGTAATGACGGGTTTCACTGGTGCCACGTTACCCTTGAACTTATGTCACTTTTGGTGCCATGTTACCCTTGAACTCATCACTTCCAGTACCAATGGAACCGATAAACAGATATCCACAAACTTTGCACGCATCAAATAAAATGGAAGCAGAATCAACCAAATCCAGCAATATCAATTCATTTTATACATTTGTTACATGTAAGTGATGCTGACAAAATTACATTACTTCCGGTGATAATGAAAAAGTTCAATTAGTTTTAAGAAATCGGAAATGGCATAAGGCATCACATGATGAAAATTTTATGCAAATCGAATATTAATTGCTACTTTTATAGACCAAAAACCTTAAAAAGTGACTTGTAAAAAATCGTCTATTTCTCTGCAACCGTACAAGTTAGAAACCATTTTTTGGTATCTGTATGATCGTGTGGGTTCAATGTATGTGTTGATTGGAATCAAATATCATAATTTTAAACACTTTACAAATCAGACACATTTGAATAAAATATCTGCTTTGAAGGCTAAAAATACTGATTTTGCCAAACTGACGTTACTTCCGGCGATAACGAAAATCTTAAATTACTTGTATGAAATCGTAAATGGCATTAGGCATCACACACTGAAAATTGTATGAAAATCGAATAATAATTGACACTTTTATGGACCAAAAACCTTGAAAAGTTACATGTTGAAAATCGTCTATTTCTCCGCAACTGAACAAGTTAGAAACCATTTTGTGATATCTATAGGATTGTTTGGGTTCATTCTATTAGTTGATTGAAATCAAATATCAAAATTTTAAAAAAATAACAAATACGACTCATTTGAATAAAATATCCCTTTTAAAGGCTAAAAATACATTTTTTGCCGAAATAATGTCATTTCCGCTGACAGTGAAAATGTTAAATTGGTTTGACCTAGTCAAAATTAGCATAAGGCATCAAATGGTAAAAAAAAAAAATGAAAATCGAATAATAATTGACTCCTTTTCAGAAAAATAACGTGGTAAGTGACGCATGCAAAAATTGCCTATTTCTCTGCAACCGCTCATATTGCAAACTTATTTTCACATACATTCTCTTCGTATGGATAATTGCTACGAGTTTTTGAAAGTTACGAAGAAATATTTTAAAATATGAAGACGCTGAATGGGTTGTAAATAGCTTAATTTTACACCGTTTTTCACCTTTTAATCGAAATAGTCCGAAAACGAAATCGAAATTAAGAAAACTGAGTCCGATGTTTTGTGCACATTACATGGCGCATTCTTTTGGTAATATCAAATTTTGAACAAATAATATTTGCTTTCAAAAAGTGGTACCGAACTGTCAAAATTATAGTTTTTGTTAAAATTATGTCATTTCCGATGCCGACATAACTATATCGGTAACAAAAAAAAATGATATTTTGTAAAAAGAAGCATATGAACTTTGTTTTAAACAAATTGAACAATAAATAATCAATCTAGGACCGAAAAACTAAATTAGCCAATGGCGGCTAACGAAAATTACAGAGACATAAATTGTTCACATTTTTGCTCAAATCAGATGACCCTTTAGCCCTGGATAAAATACCATAAAGAAATATTCATTAATCTAAAGAGCCGTAGCTATGTGCCTTGTCTCTGGCTATGTCAAAATGTATAAAATGTTAAAATCCGGCACTTATTGTTAATATTATGGCAATATTTAGAAAAAAAACAACTTCAGTGATTTCGGACATTTCGCATTGTCGCAGAATGTTCGAAATAGATTTAATCTCTAAGTCATGCCATCTTTCCTGAAAACAAAAGATATCGGATTGATCCGACAAGTAGTTTCTGAGATATACTCAAGTGGAAAATAAAACGGCCAATGTGTTGGATGATTGTTTTTTTGGTAAAAACAATCATCACTAGAACTGCAAAGCAGTAATGACGGGTTTCACTGGTGCCACGTTACCATTGAACTTATGTCACTTTTGGTGCCATGTTACCCTTGAACTCATCGCTTCCAGTACCAATGGAACCGATAAATAGATATGCACAAACTTTGCACGCATCAAATAAAATGGAAGCAGAATCAACCAAATCCAGCAATGTCAATTCATTTTATACATGTAAGTAATCCTGACAAAATTACATTACTTTCGGTGATAATGAAAAAGTTCAATAAGTTTTATGAAATCAGAAATGGCATAAGGCATCACATGGTGAAAATTTTATGTAAATCGAATAATAATTGCCACTTTTATAGACCAAAAACCTTAAAAAGTGACTTGTAGAAAATCGTCTATTTCTCTGCAACCGTACAAGTTAGAAACCATATTTTGGTATCTGTATGATCGTTTGGGTTCAATCTATGCGTTGACTGGAATCAAATATCATAATTTTAAATACTTTACAAATCAGACGCATTTGAATAAAATATCTGCTTTGGAGGCTAAAAATACAGTTTTCGCCAAAATGACGTTACTTCCGGTGATAATGAAAATCTTAAATTACTTGTATGAAATCGTAAATGGCATTAGGTATCACACAGTGAAAATTTTATGAAAATCGAATAATAATTGACACTTTTATGGACCAAAAACCTTGAAAAGTGACATGTTGAAAATCACCTATTTCTCTGCAACTGAACAAGTTAGAAACCATTTTATGATATCTATATGATCCCATGGGTTCATTCTATTAGTTGATTGGAATCAAATATCCAAATTTTAAATAAATAACAAATACGACTCACCTGAATAAATTATTTGTTTCGAAAGCTATAAATATAGTTTTTGCCCAAATTACGTCATTTCCGATGATATTGAAAATGTTAAATTGGTTTGACCTAGTCACAATTGACATTACGCATCAAATGGTATCACTTTTATGATAATCCAATAATAATTGACTCTTTTACAGGCAAAATAGCGTAAAAAGTGACACAAAATTGACCATTTCTCGGCAACTGCTCATATTACAAACTAATTTTGCGATAGATTCTCTTCGTATGAATTTATGCTACAAGTTTATGAAAGTCAAAAAGAAATATTTAAAATATGAAACGCCTGAATGGGTTGTAAATAGCTCAATTTTACACCGTTTTTCACCTTTAAACCGAAATGGCACAAAAATGAAATTGAAATTAAAAAAACGGCTTTTCAACTTTTTTTGCCCCTTTACATGGCGCAACTTCTTTTTTTTACTTATTTTCAAAAAATAATATTTGCTTTCGAAAAGACGTACCTAACCGCAAAAATTGTAGTTTTGGTCAAAATTACGTCATTTCCGCTGCTGACAGAAAGCTTTATCGGTAATAAAAAAGTTGAGACTTTGCACCATTGAGCATATGAACTTTGTTTTATACAAATCGAGCAATAAATAATTAACCTAGAACCCATAAACTGAATTAGCCAATAGCGGCCAAGGTGAATTATCGATACAAAAATTTTTCATATTTTTGCTCAAATTACATGACCCTTTAATTTATAGGTAGAGCGCCATAAAAAAATATTAATAAATAAAAAAGTTTTTTGTCAATATTTAAATTTTCAAAATTTGGTGCCTAATATCCTCGAAGATTAATCGAAAATCAAAAATCTAAACAATCATAGCTATTTGCCGTGTCTCGGGCTATGTCAAAATGTAGCATATGTTAAAATCCGACAATTATTGTTAATATTACGGCAATATTTCAAAAAACGACAACTTCGGTGATTTCGGACATTTGGCATTGTCACAGAAAGTTCGAAATAGCTTTAATCTCTAAGTCACACCCACTTTCCCAGTAAAACCGAAGACATCGAGTTGATCCGACAAATAGTTTCTGAGATATGCTCAAGTGGAAAAAAAAAAAAAAATAATAATAAGAAGAACTAGAACTGCGATGCAGTAATGACAGGTTTCACTGGTGCCACATTACCCTTAAACTTATGTCACTTCCGGTGCCAGTTACCCAGCAATAATAATTTCATTTATACATTTGTTACATTTGTCAAAAAAGTGACCCTTACAAAATTTGTTACTAACTTACCGCTAAGTTAGCTGACTTTTTAATGGGAAATTTCTCGACAAGGGAAGGTGCTAGAAGAAATTTTTGGACATCTATATGATCGTATTGATCCAATCTATATGTCCATTGGAATCAAATATCATAATGTTAAACGAATGATAAATATAACTCACTTCAAAACAATTTGAAGGCTAATAATACAGTTTTTGCCAAAATTACATTACTTCCGGTGATAATACAATTTTTGCATTAATTCTATGAAAATATAAACGGCATAAGGCCTCACATGGTGAAAATTTTATGATAATCAAATAATAATTGACACTTTTATAGACCAAAACCTATATCTCTGCAACCGAACAAATTAGAAACCATTTTGTGATATCTGTATGGTCGTATGGGGTTTTGCCCAAATGTCGTCATTTTCAGTGACAGTGAAAATGTTAAATTGTATTGACCTAGTCAAAGGTGGCATGAGGCAACACATGGTAACAAAAATTGAAAATCGAACGATAATTGACGCTTTTACAGGCAAAATAATGTGAAAAGTGACCCATGCAAAATTGCCTATTTCTTGGCAACTGCTAATATTACAAACTAATTTTGACATAAATTGTTATGGTATGGATTAATGCTACAGGTTCGTGAAAGTTGTCAAGAAATATTGTAAAAAATGAAAAATCTGAATGCATTGTAAATAGCTCATTTTTACACCTTTTTTCAGCTTTAAATCAAAATGATGCAAATGCAAAACCGAAATAAAATAAAAAAACAAGACATATTTTGCATCTTTAGTATGAGCATTCATCTTGATCTATTAAATTTGTAAACATTAATATTTGCTTTTTAAAAGACCTTTCGACACGTCAAAACTTTTATATGTAGAAGTAAGTTGAGAATTTGCACCAGGTGGGCTTTTCTTTTACACAAATAAGGCAATAAATAATTAACCCAGAACCCATACACTGAAATTAAAATGCAAAAAATCTTAAAAAGTGATCCTGACAAAATTGGTTATTTCTCGGCAAGGGAAGGTGTTAGAAACTATTTTGTGATATCAATATGATCGTATTGATTGATACTATTTGTCCATAGGAATCAAAAATCATAATTTTACACCAATAATGAATATCGCTTACTTCAAACAATTACTTGTTTTAGAGGCTAAAAATACAGTTTTTGACAAACTGACGGTACTTCCGGTGATAATGAAAATACTAAATTACTTGTATGAAATCGTAAATGGCGTTAGGTATCACACAGTGAAATTTTTATGAAAATCGAATAATAATTGCCACTGGTATGGACCAAAAACTTTGAAAAGTGACCATCTGAAAATCGCCTATTTCTCCGCAACTGAACAAGTTAGAAAACATCTTGTAATATCTATATGATCGTATGGGTTCATTCCATTAGTTGATTGGAATCAAATATCATAATTTTGAAAACATTACAAACCAGACTCGTTTGAATAAAATATCTGTTTTGAAGGCTATAAATACATTTTTGCCCAAATGGCGCCATTTCCGGTGACATTGAAAATGTTAAATTGGTTTGAACTAGTCAAAATTGACACAACGCATCAAATGGTGTCGTTTTTATGAAAATCCAATAATAATTGGCTCTTTTACAGGCAAAATAGCGTAAAAAGTGACTCATGCAAAATTGACCATTTCTCGGCAAATACTCATATTACAAACTAATTTTGACATAGATTCTCTTCGTATGGATTAATGCTACAAGTTTATGATAGTTGCGAAGAAATATTTGGAAATATGAAAAGCCTGAATGTGTTGTAAATAGCTCATTTTTAAACCTTTTTTCACCTTTAAATCGAAATGGCGCAAATACAAAACCAAAATTAAAAAAAGTGAGTCCGACATTTTGTGCGCCTTTTGTAAGGGCATTTATCTTGATCTATCAGATTTACAAAAATTAACATTTGCTAGTGAAAAGACGTTCCGACTCGACAAAATTGGAGTTTTCAGCAAAATTGCGTCACACCCGGTACCGATAGAAAACTTTACCATGGAGCATATGAACTTTGTTTTATAAAAATCGGGCAATAAATAATTGACCTAGAACCGATAAAATGAATTAGCCAATAGCGGCCAAAAAAAATTATCGAGACAAAAAATGTTCACATTTTTGATCAAATCAGACGACCCCTTAACCCTAGGTAAAATGCCATAAAAAATTATTCATTAATAAAATAGTTTTTTGTCAAAATTTAAATTTTCAAAATTTGGCGCCTAATATCTCCGAAGATTCGTCGAAAATCAAAAATCTAAACTACCGTAGCTATGTGCCCTGTCTCAGGATATGTCAAAATGTATCCAATGTTAAGAGCCGACGATTATTGTTAATATTACTGCAATATTTCAAAAAACGACAACTTTGGCGTTTCAGACATTTCGCATAGTCGCAGAACGTTCGAAATAGCTTTAATCTCTAAGTCACACCCACTTTCCCAGTAAAACCGAAGACATCGAGTTGATCCGACAAGTAGTTTCTGAGATATGCTCAAGTGGAAAAAAAAAAATAATAATAATAAGAGTAATCTTAACAAAAACAATAGTGTTTCACACAAGCTACGCAGTGTGAAACCCTAATAATAATCTTAACAAAAACAATAGTGTTTCACACTGGCTACGCAGAGTGAAACCCTAATTAACTACCGGTACATTGTTTTGATACAATTCTTTCACAGCAGCAATACTGTGTTTTATAAATATATCGGTATAAGTAACATAAAGGCAATAAGTAAATCACTTTACCACAGACATGTAAATATACCGGACATGTGTGAGTAATTATTTCATGTCCACCTCCAGTCTTCCACCATAGACTGAAGTATTTGGTTCATTCATAGATATTTTGATGGCTGTTCTAATGGTTAAAGGGACTATCCCGATTTGAACAGAGTCTCAAAAGTAAAAGTCCGAGTTCGTATGAAATTTAAGCACCAAAATATAGAGGAATGGTTATTTACCTGGTCTCAAAATTTCAGCTCAAAATATTGAATTGTTTGACGTGAACGTCAAAAATGCTTATCCGGAAACGTAACCCCTTTAAGATTTCTGGTCAATTTTTTCGTTGGGTGACTTGATAATCTATCGCGGTTCCTTTATACAATGAATGACCCACGTGCCGTACTGGATAACGAAAGGTAAATTTCACCTACACATTGTTTTTATAAAATAAAAGTCTGGGCCCTTATTCACGAAAACTTAAACTAAGATACAATCGAAATTTTAAGAAATACTGCAATTCGATTGGCTGACCAGTAAAATCAATTTGCATATATCCAATTTGCATATTGGTCTCTATTTCCAGATGAAGACTGACGGGTGTAAGTTGTTTGAAAACATATCACAAATGTTGAATTAGTTGCTCGGCCTGTGGGTACGGGATTTTAAGGGGTTTTAACACAAAATTAAGCAGTTTTATTCTCCAAAATATTATCGGGATTGGCCCTTTAATGTATAGAAAGAACCTGTCAGATACTGCCTGGTTTGTCATTACCGGTATTTTAAAATTATTTACAAAGGTTTGAACTTTTGCATAAAAGCAGAGCTAAATTTCTTAAAGAAATTCTGAAATCTTATCTAAATTAATAAGGATTCAAAAAGCTGTTTGAATTGTTTGAATTCGACAACTGAACCTTATAATTAATACAGTCCATGGCCCTGTTTACACTTGGTCGCGATAAGAAATTGACATTACCCTACAATAACTGGTCTTGGAACCGTGTCTGGCACGCCAAATGTGGAACTCTTCACAGAAAAGTTCATTTCAGTCAATATGCAAATTACGGGGATAAAAACAATTATTGCGGTTGATTTAGTTTCGGCTGCAGCTATATAATATTGACTGAACGGGTGAAACTGAAAGAGCTGTAAAAGTTCACAGGGGAAAAAGGAAATGAAATGAAATGAAATGGGGTTTAACTCCCTACTGTTCTACTCCTAACCTGGGCTAATGAAGACGGGCATACGCCATACAGTGTGCTATGAGGGGAATTTTGCCCAGACAGCGGCACTACGGCCTACTCTTATATCGAATTCCAACTGCCAAGGGATCTTTTACGTGCACGCCAATGTGTACACGGGACCTCGGTTTTTTGTCCCAACCGAACTACTAGACAGCTTTCCTTGTCAGCCCCTTGTCACTGACAAGGGAGAACCACGCCGGAAAATCTGGATGAACGTTCTCGGCCAATGCAGGGATCGAACACCCGACCTCCAGGCTAGCGAGCTAGCGTCTTACCCACTTAGTAGGTTCATTTGGCAAATGCACAGTAATCAGTACCCTTCTCACATCGGATAGCTTTTACACTTCGAAAATAAAACTGTGCCATGCCTGGCTCCGTGTCGAGCCCCCTCCCAGTCCTCATTTCAGTGGACCAAATCGGCACGGTTGCCTACTCGGTACGGCTCGCTTATCTTTAACCCATTTACACTACAAAAAAAATTACCCTATCGCACCGTGCCTGGCACGCTTAAATTTCAATTTGTAATGTAAACGGGGTTTATGATTCGACAAATAGCCTAAATAATTTTCAAAGTGTTGTGAAATCACACAACCATGGAGCCAAGCCGCTTTGCCATTGGCATTGTCCCACCAACTGAACCAAACATCTGCAAAATGATCATAGACAACGGGCCTTTGAAAATTTCAAGTGCCTACGATCACGGGAACTGGTAGAGGTACGAAAGTGCAATAGCGCCAGTTAATTCTAATGAAACCTGTAGTTTTCGACTTGAAAATTTGTACCAGACTGTTGTACTTCTGACTGCTCTCAGTTCAAAACTAAGAATTTCAAAATTGGACGATTTCAAGACTGTTTCGTGCTTATTCTCTCCAATATCCAATGAGCGTTTGGAGGCCCAGTTTTTTCCCGCACGTGCAACTACATAAACAAATCGCCCAGTCCTGATCAAGACTAGTCGGGCACATGTCAAAAGGGAAATAACTCCATTTAAGCATTCTAATTGGGCTCAGACAAGTAAATCTCCCGCTGTTGACCTCGGTGATCAATCAGTGGCATTCCTTGGACTGCAACATTTTTTTTTTGAGGGTGAGAGAGAGAGAGGAATGGGGTTTAACGTCCAACTCGACACTAGGTAATTTCGGGACTAATATGTTTCTATTTTATTTCAATAATTCCCTTGCACGTAGGGGTCTTTAGCAGTGGGAGGAAACCGGAGGAACCGGAGAAAACCCATGAGGTTGGTATAACCACAAAGAGCCCAATATGCCACAATCATCCCATACAGATATTGAAGGAGGTGGCCATCTCAATGTTTTTTCTAATCCTTGTCATTGTATAATAGTTGATCCACAAAGTCATGAATATTAACTAAAACCCATCAGAAAATGTCTATTCAAACACTCTTCTTGGATTCTAGCCAAAAAAAATGGTTAACAGATATTGCCATGCATAAGAAAGGGGGGGGATGTTTAAATGAGAGAATTGATATCAGTGGCTTATTGTAGGTTGCAAGGTAAGTATTGCGCCCGCTAACCCATTGACCATTCTCACAGCAAAAATGTTACATGTCATGTTGAAAAATGGTGTAGAATTTTCAAACATTTAGTATCAGGGCCTGATATTTCGTATTTACAATTACATTTTTTTATAACATGAGTAATGTAGATCACATAGCAACTAAACCAGTGAGGTGAACAACTGCAACCCAGCATCTCTTGATTGACTCCCCCCACCCCCTTCCCAATCCTCAGCCCTCATAATTAGAAATAACAATACATTATCTTATAATGTTTTTATTCAGCCCCAAACACATAACCCCTCAACAAACCTAATTTACAAACTGTCTGTATTTACAATTCAAATCTAAAATAATCTTTCAGACATATATTATTTAAAAATGTACAATAACACAGCACTAAAGATAAACCAATCTGTATGTACATATATAAATATAAAGCACTCAATATAGTGTAAAATATTACACTGTACAGATCATTTACTTCCCTATCTGCAACATTTCAAATCATAGATCAACATGTCCTTTCTAGTTTTTATGAAAAGTGACAGTTCATCTTAGATTTTATCTGGCAACATGGGTCCAATTTCAATTTCTCTATTTCTCATGAACTTCAGACTTGCCATCTTATAATTTTAGAAGATCTTTAGCCTGTAAATAGCCAATCACAAGAGCATATGGGGAAGTCAAAATCTATGCATAATTGATTAATATTGCCTTCAATACAAAACAATTTGACTAAAATGAACAGTCAGCAAATTGGTTGAATTTATTTGAAAATACTAAAACCCTAATGCTACACTGGTTCATATTTCATCAGTTCAACAATCATGATAGTTCATGTCCCTGATTTTGTGATGTCTTTCTGCAGAAACTCATATACCACAAAGTTTATGACTTTTAATTAAAGTCTGTCCAGCAGTCATAATTATTTTCTCAACAGATTAACAAAGCTTACATTGACTTTTACCACAAAAATGTCTTCAGAGGAATCGTTCTTTCACATGGGAAAGAATGCATAACTTTTGCAAGTTTAGATTGTACTGTAATAATACTGTAAATTTCTGATGTAACATTTTGCAAACTTGCAAGACCCCGGACACATTTTTAGATCCTCACACTCGACATGTCTTTATTCACATGGACAGCTCATAATATTTATGTGTTTTAGGATCGTAGTAACAGTTTAATTCTGAATCAAACAATAAATCAAGTTCATCTCCATCTACTTCTGTGTCATAAAACTCAGGTACATTATTTAACGTGTTGCCCGGGCTAAATTTATCTTTCCTAGGAGAAAGACTACTGTCACTTAAGTCTGTGGAGTTTCTTAAATGACTGTTGACGTCGTTCGGTAGGTTGATAGGTGGACTAAACACACTGCTCCAATCTCTGGAAGGATTTTAAATTATATAATAATAAAAACTATATATCATCTTAGTTTAGATGAAATAAAAGTACTGGTAATACAAAGCTATGATTTTTTCTTCAATAACCATCAAGATATACTATTCAAAAAAAGTAGGGGATATTTGATTTTGGGGGCATAATACTAAAATATGCAAATGACTACGAAAAAAGTCACTATAGAACCTAACAGAAGAAACATTTCCAGTTACATGTGACGCCCAAACGCACCAATAGCTACCGCATGGAATGCAGGTGATGCTTGGGATCATCATGGGGGTCCAACCCAAGATTTGCACGACTCTGACTTTGAATGTTACAGTCATTGTGGCATTGAATTCCAGGGTGGAAACATCAGTTTAATTGTTTTAGTGACCAGAAAACAAATTTTGATATGCGTCGGCTTACCCAAAATGAAAGGTTACGTGCCCTTGGCATGCTACAGATCGGCACAACACAGGCGGTTGTGGCGCGGCCGATGAATGTTTCTCAGTCTGTCATAAGCAGGCTATGGTCCAGATACCGTGATACACAATCTGTACAGGACAGACCACGCTCAGGTCGACCAAGGTCGACAACTCAAGCCCAGGATCGATTTATCCGTACCTTGGCCTTGAGAAATCGTGTCATCACAGCAAATCAGATCAGCGCTCGTCTTCAAACAGACACTGGTGTGAGAGTGAGTGGCCAGACGATTCGGAATCGACTGCATAAGGGTCACCTTCGCGCCCGACGTCCTCGCGTGATCCCTTGTTTGAGAGATCATCACATTCAGGCAAGACGTCGTTGGTGTAGGGATCGTCAACACTGGGATAATCGACGCTGGAGCAATGTGATGTTTTCAGATGAGTCAAGGTTCACTGTTGATTTTTTGGACAGACGTAGGAGGGTGTGGCGTCGTCGAAACGAGCGCTTCCAAGACGTTAACGTCATCAGACATGATCGATTTGGGGGTGGTTCTGTTATGGTGTGGGGAGGCATCACTGTTGCTGGAAGAACGGCTTTACATGTTGTTGCAGGGCGTGTTACAGGCCAGTACTACCGGGACAACATCTTGGCAGTCCATGTTGTGCCGTTCGCACGACGTCATGGCCGCCGTTTCATCTTCCAGGATGACAACGCAAGATGTCACAGGGCCAGGATCGTTACAGGTTACCTCCAACAACAGAACATCACCACATTACCTTGGCCAGCACTGAGTCCCGACCTCTCCCCCATCGAGCATGTCTGGGACATGCTTGGACAGAGGTTACGTCAACGTCAACAACGTCCTGCCAATGTCCAAGAACTTGCTGCTGCGTTGCAACAGGACTGGGACAATCTGGACCAAAATGACCTTAGACGTCTCATTAGGAGTATGCCACGTCGGATCAATGCTTGTTTGGCAAACAGAGGAGGATTTACCCGTTACTGACTTGGTTGTGATGCTGTGGTAACTTTGCTGTTTGACCCCGGGTATCATTTTACCCTTATAATGGTCAGTCTGTGCCTTACTTAGTCTAACGATCATTTGGAATAAATCGATGAATGTGAACTTCATTTCATTTTGTCATTTGTTTCTTCGTCAGTTTCATTAGGTGACTTTAATAACACTTAAAAATCAAATATCCCCTACTTTTTTTGAATAGTATATATCCCATTGTAAATAAATAGACAATCTATTGCACCATCCCAAATTTAATTTTATCTGAATACATATGTTCCTTCTGATTCAAAGGTAAAGTAAACAGTGTGTTTACATAAATCAAACAAAGCACAATACAAGATTTGTAATAAATAGAAGTCTACATTTCAAGGGTCTCAATCACAAAAATCTGCATATATCCCAAAAGTTGGGGGGGGGGGGGGGTGGAGGGAGAGAGAGAGAGAGAGAGAGAGAGAGATTAACTTCCACTTGATCTAAAGAGCACATGTTAAACCATCCGCCCACCCAATCCCACTAAATGTTAGGAAAAACAATATACATTACCTAGGATTGGAAGACATTAATGTATCACTACTTTGTCGTGTTTTCATTTCATCATGTATATTATAACCTCTTTGGTTTCGGGCCTACAAAAAATACAGAAAATGTTTAAGGATATAAAATAATAAAACATACATCAGGGCAGATGTTTCAAAATAGCAAGAGGAGTAGGAATGTCACTTTTTATTGTTGTGTTTGTGGAAGAGGTGATATGAATAATGTTTACTTTAGTGTTAAACAAACAAAATGCAACAGATTTTCCTGTTTACATCTGAAGCTCAAAAGGACTGTTATGTTGCTAAAAACCACAACAAACTAGAACTACCTAGCATAACTGAATCTTTTATTTTGTAAGCATTAAATATTTACTTTTATCACAAAATCTATTTTCAAAGGTGGCCTTTTAAATGTCAAAAGCTAATAATATGTTCCGCATGAGATGGATAATAAATTAAAAACTAAACATAGTGTCACAGTGGTTTAATTAATTGAAGAAGCGTCTTATAGTATGTCCATGAAAACAACACATGTCCGGGAACTAAATACGAGGAAATTATCTCATTTTTACCTAGGCAATTGTACTCTGATCATCAATTTAATCGATCTCATTAAAATACAGATCTATATTTCGTTTCGTTTTTGTTTTTTTTTATACTTTCAATGACCTACATTACATGAAGATCTGACCAGTTGTACTGGGAGGTCACATCAGGGGTCGTACTAGCAGCTTTTGACCCTATGACGTCAGACATTGATTAATCAATCCGCGTTGATGTTTCTAGTGGTTTATCCACAGTTCTGTGCATCAAATGCCAAGAAGTCACCATAAAAGGTAGTTTCATTGGCTAATCCCTCACGCTATCATGAACACAGGTTATATAACAACTCTTCCAGATCCTAGTATAGTACAGACAAATAAAATGAAATTTTGAACTATAAAAAACGAAACGAAATAGGATCTGTGTTTTAATCAGATTGCAATTTAATAAAATTTCCTTAATAAAATCTGAGTTCCAAATAATATTCATATTAAAGCTGAGGTTTCATGATTATCTGCGTCCACATACAATAAATATATAAGTAACTGCAGCACGTCAAATATCCTAATTTTAAAAAAAATTATGAATCATTTAAATTGTGAAATTCAAAATCAGTAAGGTGCCTAAAAGTTTAAAATAACTTACAGGAGCTTTCCATGTACTTAAACTAGTATCATCATCACTAGTAGTTGATGGTGATTCATTAAAAAGATGGTTACTATTGCTATTATGTCTACCAGGATTCAATCTCCGCGGACTTATCACAACCTTTATATTATCTCTTCTCTCATTGGTCACGTCCTCCATAGATTCTTCCTGTTGACGCTGCATACTGGCAAACATGTTGGCTTCAAATGAATCTGTTACATCGGCTATTTTATATTTATTTTTATCGTAAGATCTCTGTTGACAAGAAAATAATATTCAATTAAAAAAGATAGATCGAAAAGCTACTCAAAAACAAACACACAAAAACAAAAAAAGATATAAATGCTCACAAAATGTATTCAATTCAGGGTAATTTAGAGAACACACTTCAGGACAAATATTGAAATTTCTTGTTTGTTGCACACAGAAAAAGAAAGTTATTTGCACTCTTTTATTAACAAATAAAAAATTAACTGCTTAAACGAAACAAGACAATGAAGAAATAATGTTACCGGTACTTTATAATTTATACCATAAATAACCTTTGTCCCCAACCCTATATCTTCATTCAAAGCCTTTTGGTGTGCAGCCCAAAGAAGTCCGAATTAATGAGATTATATTATACACTATTAAATTACCTCTGATTTTAGTCTAGGGTCGTTTTTGGTAATTTCTTTCAAGGCTCGCATACTTATTCTTGAGATTTGTCCTGATTGATATCTGCTGTTTCCAAGTTGATTTGAGTCTATATTCCGATGATTGGGACTTATACTGGATGGTTTCGGTATTACATGTGTTCGTTTTGAACCTGATCCAGTTCTTTGGTTTTCTCTATTTTTGGGACTAGCACCTGTACTAGATGTACCACTGGTCGGACGGGAATTGGGTTTTCGAGATTTTTGCAGATGATCTTCTTCTTCACTACTTGTTTGACTATTTATAAAATCATCCTCTGGACGGGCTCCACGTGCCGAATAAATATCCGCCTGTGATTTCCGCAAAGATCTTGAACTCTTTGAAAAACTCTTTTTTGACTGGAAAAAAAGTACAGATATTGTTTATCATAAGAGACATTTAAAATTTGGCAGACTTGATTAGTAGAGAATTAACTATCGAGAAGGTAGCTATAAGATGTGTGTTTGTATAAGGTGTATGTCAACATGCATAAACTTTTTACATTTACCTGTGGGCTGTCTGGATTTGTCTGTGTATTTGGGGAAATATTTCTTCTTGGTGCAGTAGTTGGACGGGAGGCAAAAACATGGAGACCTCCAACTTCTGATGTCTCCTCACTACAAATATACAATGATTACCGTAAAAAAAGATGTTAAATGAGTACAAGAATTTAATATGTTAATGCAACCTGCCACAAGCTGCATTAATTTCATTAAAGATTTCAATACAAATTGTTGTTCTATGATTACATGTAAATCAGCTGTGTTGTCAAACATTACGCCACTCAAAATAATAAACTAATCAATTTTGATAATTTAATTAAAGCGGTATTATGGAAGATTAGATAATGAGCTGACAGTTCTCGCTATAATATAGTTACACAATAGATTATGTAAAGGGAATATGCTGAAAATTTCAGTAAAATTACTTCACTCTGAACCAAGATGTTAGCAATACAATTATAGGCTAGCCTTGATTGTCATTACTACCGTTGTTATGATAATAAACAAAGTCTTAATTATCCAATTTTACGGTTAGTCATCACCCACTGTTGAACTGCAGATCTGATTCAAATCTGTTGAAAGTCTGACCCATCAGATGGCATCAAGAGTTGATTATGGACTTGTCATGTTAATAAATGTCTAATTTATAATTTATATAACATTTAAGGCCTAAAGAAAGACCTGCAATAGGTAGATTTAGTTCTTGCATAATGCCTGTTTAATAGACTATCATTGGTGTAATTATTTGATATTTACACTATAGAGTATTACCTCTTTGTACAACATACACAAAGCAACTCAGTTGTAATTTAATTTTAGAAAAGAGGATATACCCGGTTGCATTTATCTCAATACACAATATCTAACCCTTTAGGTCACATTAATTTCAACACACATACATATCAAGCCCTTTATATCAACACTTCATTAATTTCATGAAGGATTTACATTTATTTTACCGACTGCTTCACAGTTGGAATACACATAAACTTATTATAGCTGCTCTAAAAGATTGTTCATGTCTTAAATTGTGATACAGATTTAATTTTTTTTTCTAGTTTCCATAAAGTGTTTAAATCAGAATAATTTTTTTTAACGGAAATTAACTTATTGTTACGAGAGCAGGACCATTGTTATATAATTACTAAAGATGGATAGAACTTACTCATCACTTTCTTCATATTCCCCTGGTGCTGAAGAACTGGTTGATGAAGATGATATGCCACTTTTATCCAGTTTATATTTTAATGCATTTATAACTTCTAATATCTCATCATCTGACTCGTAGCCAACACCTGTACAAAAATATATATTCATTTATAACAGTTTTATTTTTTCAATACACAAATCTGATTATCTTCCTAGTGGTGTAGATCCTTATAATTCAAAAGTAATAAGTTTTGATTTGACATAATTTCACAACATGGTTTGATCGTGCAAATGTTTAAATTAGATCGTGGGGAAAAGTATAAATAGTTCAGTACTTGAGTTCTTTACCATATTGGATTATTTAAAACATGGTATTATTCAAAATTAATCAAATTTATTTTCTTGGTGTTATTAAAGTGATAATGCCTCTTTTAAATTACATTATGGACACGCCTAATGTTAGACTGGTACCAAAGATTTTGTTGACAATTCATATTTAAAGGGCATATGGCTCTATTTTTTGAAACCTTGAAATAGACAAAAATGGTTTTAAAAGCACATATTAATGTAATGTGAATGTATGTAAAGTGATTTATATTCAAATTTTGAAAACAATATTGTAATTTCTGATCAATTATGTTCGGTGAAATATGTGAACAGTTCAAAAGGAATGGCAGTTGTTTGCGTCTGCTTAGTACATTCTACACGTTTTTTAAATTATTTTGTCGTTTGTGAATCAGACTTTACTAATTACTTCCACATTTTGTTGTAGGATATTTTTTTATTTGTTCATTACAAAATGGAAACCGAAACCATAGGTTACATGTCGCATGTACTCATTATAAAATGTTAATTGTGTCTTAAATATTGGATATAGGAATCCTATAGTTTCACGGCAAGATAACAACATCAATATTGATTGAAATTGATCAATATTGAATTCTTATGCATGTTTTTAATTTCAAATATTATGGAAAATATTGAGTTAGTGTCTTAGCTCCTTTAAGCTCAGGCGATATATCTGATACTGTATAATTAATTAGTTACCGTTAGAATATTTCTTTGGATCAAAAGGTGGTTTATCCTTTGATATTTTATTAACAGTTTGTTTTGAACTTGATAAACCAGACAGATTAAATCTATCTTCACCATCACCCACACTTCTCAACCCTGACTTAACACTGCCTTGGCCTTGAGATCCAGAGTTTGGCCTTGACCCAGAATTTGGTCTGGAACTTGAATTTGGTCTGGAACTTGAATTCGGTCTTGAACCAGAATTAGGTCTAGATCCAGAATTCGATCTTGAATCTTGACCACTATGAACTTTTCGACCAAACGTTTTCACCGAGACATCTGTAGGTTTTTTGAATAACATTGATGGTTGTTCTGTTTCAGGTGTAATGTTTTCTTCTGGAATGAATAGTTATTAAAAAAAAATAACATAAAAGATAATAATATATAATTAAGTTAATGTGCAAGATTATTCTTCTTTGAGTATCATTTAGCAATTGACACATGTAATATACACAAAACCATAATATGGAACACAATTACTATTTTAATTAATATTATGGTTTTGTGTTTATTACGTGTGTTAATTGCTAAATCCCATTCAGCTTTAATTAAAATAATAATTGTGTTCCATATTATGGTTTTGTGTTTATTATGAAGGTAATCATTGCTGATAACTGAAAGAACCGATTTCCGTTTGTCCTGAACATATGAAGTATAGTTCACTACTTATAAACAAATTTCACCAATTGAAGGCAGTGGGAATAAATTTCATTAATATTCTATACAACAAATTAACAACATGCATATACCATTACCTTTCAGTGAACCAGCACTGGATTGTCTGTCTTTATTTATTCCATTAGCAGAAAGGGTTTTAACCCGCGGTCGACGTCTAACTCTGTCATTGGATGGTTCTCTAGGAGGATGTGGCGTTACTGTAATGATATCAATCACTGTTAGAATAATGCGAACGTAATGTCTTAAATACAGAAGCTATCATTGTTCTAAATAATTAAATTAATGTATTAAATACAGAAGCTATCAGTGTCCTAAATAATTAAATTAACAATCTGCATACTTGATCAATAACAAAGAAGGTAGACGCAAAATACAGTATATATGAAACGGCAAGTGTGAAAAAATCAAATGCCTTTCTTCAGGTGCAAAAAATATGGACTTGATCGATCGAGTGGATTGACTTCTAATGAGTAAACTGAACACCCAAATGACTAATTTAAATGCAAGCTGCTTTAAAAATAGGTCATATATCAAAAAGAAATGGTTATAAAGAATAGAAATAGAGCCTATACTATAGGCAGAGAGAGAAAGAGAGAGAGAGAGAGAGGGAGAGAGAGAGAGATATGGGGTTTAACCTCCACTCCACACAAACCAGGTCATTTTATTTCAATAATTCGCTTGCGTGTAGTGGTAGGAAACCAGAGGACCCAGAGAAAACCCACGAGGTTGGACAGACGACCCTACCCCTTGTCACGTACAACTGGGGAATCGAAACCAAGCCAGTTGACGCAATGACAGACCTTATGATTCAGGCGCACGCGCTAACCATTCACGATTCCAAACCTGCATTTACATAAGTGAACTACTCATTCATTGCATTTTGGGAACGACAACCCAGTTTGTCAATGATTTGGTTTCATTTTTGCATACTTCCCAAATGTGTTTATAAGATTAATTACAATATGAAGCTCACCTTTATTATTATTTTTTATTGTGTCAGTTTCATCAGTTATATTTACATCATCAGAATTAATGTGACGATAACTTGTTGATTTTTGCTCTGTTGGACTTGTTTCTGTTTTACCCGAACCAGTTCTTGTCCTACCATCTTGACTGGATAAACTGTTAGACAGATTAGTTCCACTTCCAAACCCATCTATAACAAATAATAATCAAGAGGTGTACAAGCCATTGGACACATTTTACAAACTGTAATTTGATCAACTGTTTTAATGTCATTTAGTAATTGAACTGGATATAAATAGTACACTATTCCCAGTATTGGTATGTGGGTTGGGATGTCGTCGTGGTCTAGAGTGTTTTGCTTCGAGCTCTGACTGGCCGGTCACCTCTAGCTTGCGGTCCTTGTTCTATGTGTGAGTGTATGTGGCTTGGAGATAGAGGCGTCTTAGCAACCTCATGTGTTTACTCCGGTTTTCTCCCACAGGAAAGACCTCTGCATGTGCGCAAAGCATAATAAAATAAGACAACTTGTCTGCGATATCACCCTGGTTGGAAGCAGACGTTTGGTATAGAATAGATATATAACAATATTAACACCTTAACTCATGATAAACAATCAGAAACATACCGCTTATTATATTGAAGATGACCTAACTTAATCAAGTTGTTGAGAATCCTGTTTGAAAAATTGCTCAGTAACAAACAGAAGATATCTTTACATTTGAATGTTGGATGAAATACAACTTTAGATTAAAGGAAATATTTGAATTCAAAGGTCATCTTACCTTTTTCAGATCTAAAACTTTTATTTATAGTACTACCCTGAAATATACATCACAATTTATATATGTTATACATACATGTATTTTCTTTTCAGATAATTCTAGCCTCAAAGCAGTTCAACAATATACCTAATACCACCAGATCTTCGTCGAATTCCAAGTGTCATGGGTTCTTTTTAAGTGTACGCTAATAAATACCTCTTTCTACATCCCATCTGAATAAGTAGATGCTTTTTTCTTGCCAGACTCTTCATTTTGCACCATTGACATGGAGAAACCAAGACAGAAATCCTAAATATGTTTCTATGCCAACACTGGGATCCAACCCAGGACCGCCTGCTTAGTGAATGGAAAAAATGAAACTGAACTAACCGTCTTTCCAGTGCCTGATCTACGAGAAGTATCAGGAACAGGAACTCTAACACCAAATGCTATACGAAAACTAGTGTCACTATTACCAGCTCTATGACTACTTGCATTCAGATCTGTGGATAAAATAGAACACCATAAGTATATATTATAAAAGATCTTTCTATATCACCAAATAGATTTTTAAACACAGAAGATTTTCATTTTCCTCGGCTTAAAGTAGCTTTTCATGTCCCCCACCCCAACACACACATATCAACACACCTATATATTTACATAAATAAACCTGACATTACTAAACAACACGCCTCTAAATATTTGTGTATTTGGTAATAATTATGTATTTGTTATGTATTTAGTATTGTGACTGTCAAAGAAATACACCATTAACAAATATTACAGATAGAATTTAGCAAATAGACCAAAATTCATATACATAAAATAAGTTAACCCACCTATATCTGACATGGACGTTCCACGACTTAGTTCACCTGTAGAATGACCTCTCAACCTTTCAGCATGTTTTATTTTATCTAAATTTAAAACCTAGAAGAACAAAATGTCCATTTAATGCATTATATTTCTGAAAAGTGTACATTTATATTCTTTCTGACATTCTAATATTTCAAGAGAGTCTGACTGAGTTGTATATTGTGATTAAATCTCTAATAAATACTATGAAATAAATTACATTAAAAATAGTAATGAATCTCTCCGCTCAGTATAAATCATATTTTTTGCAAATATGTGCTATTATTTTATATTTTGATACTGGTACTTCATTGTGTATGTTGAGTAATATGTGATATTATACTCTTCAAAAAAAGTAGGGGATATTCAGAAACAATACAAAACTGCGGAAATGCACTGCTGTTTTTATTAGAGGTAACCAGTGTATGTTAATAACAGGCCAATTGTCTACACATGAACATAAACAGTTCATATGGGCGGCTTATCTGACGGCCCCATTTCACTCGCAAAGAGATACACTGTCAAAAGTGAAAATGGACGTTTTTGATTTTTGTCTTAATAATGAGTATTTGCTCCACCAATCCTCAGACATTCAGCAATTTATCGTGGCATGCTCCTAATCAACCATCCAATCACGGTTTTGGGCAATCTGACCCACTCCTCTTGCAGTGCCACGGCCAATTCTTGCAGTGTTGTCGGTTGATGTTGACGTCGACGAACACGTCTCTCGATCAAATTCAAACACTAAAGCAAAGATTCGCTAAACAGTAAATCGTATGCAAGAACATGGATAGGATAAACCAGCATGCGGCAGTTTTCATCAACCCTTCTTTGAAGTGTCAATTTGACAATGAAACCCTCCCACGTGTATGGCGCTATTGCGTGTTACATGTGCAGCTCAGTGGTTCTGTTGGGGCGATAAGTTCTTCATCTGTGAACATACTCTCAAAGCATGTCAAGTGTCCATGACTATTTATCATATCGCAACCTGCGTAGGTATTTGCATTTCAATATCCCCTACTGTTTTGAAGAGTATATATTATTTTATATATTGATATACCTTTTATATACTGATACCAGTATTTACTTGTGTAAATTGAGTAATATATGATATTCTATTATTCTATATATTGATATACCAGTACTTACTTGTGTAAGTTGAGTAATATCACCTGTCAATACACATTGTTTAGGTATAGCTTCCAATACAGTGTCATTAGAATTAAAACAACCATACAGTTCTATATAAAAGAAGAATTAAACATGTAAGCACTTATGTAACGGTATATACATACTGTTTCGAAAGTTTATCTTTATCCACAAGTTTGTTACTGGGTACTGGGGTTTATATTCTGTGCAATCACTGGTATTATATAATCGGTTTTGGCCAATTTGACACATCAATCCAAAAATCTGAAATAACTATGCATCAATTTAAATTCTGCATTCAAAAGCCTTTAAATTTGTGACATATGCATTTATCTCAGACGATAATATTAATTTTAAGAAAAAAGTACGAAATGCGAGTCTTGTTCAGTCAGAGCTAGTCATGATTTGTATTACTGTATTAGTTAATAACGTTGAGAGAATACTCTTTGAAACCTCGCCCAAATAAATAAGTAGCTATTTTTCCTTAAGTATGTGTTATAGTTTATTGCTCTATCCAGTTTCTAAATGCCTCTCAAAGATTATTAGTCATGATTAGTTTAAGAAATGTTTAATTAATAAATATCTTACCATCATCATCTGTAGTATCAGGAGGTTGTGTTTTTAATGTAAATATTCGTCTAAGATGACAGTTAGCTGATACAGTAATCTGTTCTATAGAACGATATGTCTGACCCTTCCATACATCACCTACTAGTGATATCATATCTAAACACAGATTTAACCACTGAAAATTTCAAAAATATCACCATTAGATATTACACATTGCAGATTACATCTTGTATCTGGAAGTCAATGCTTTTTTTAAATTTGGTCAACGCATTCATGTTAGCTAACAGATTTATTTAGGAGCTTGATAAAGGTTACATTATTGAATTATTGTCATAAACATTCCTTATTATAAATATATGTAACAGTTGGATGTGACTGGATCAGAAATAGTTTTCCAGGTTACTAACTCATTATGATTTCTACTTGATAATTTCCATATAAAAGGGATTAGTTATAAAGATGCATGATGTAAGATTTAGATAAAAAGCTGACTGTTCTTGCTATAATAGTTCCAAAATAGATAATGCAAAATAGATATATTGAAAATTTCATTCAAATTACTTTATTTTAACCGAAGTTATCAATGTTTGGAGTTTTGACAAGATCTGGCTTTGATTGTTTATTGTTTCTCTGTTCATTAAATGGCCAAAGCATTCTAATAAATAGGAAAATTTAGCTCTTACATAATGCATCTTTAAAAATATATTTTGACATAGACGTTAAATGTTTCATATTAATCAATGACTACTAATTGACTATAATGCAATTAACTTACTATTGCTCGTCTTAGAATAGTAAGAGGTATTTTAGCATGAAGAGGTGTAACTTGTGTTTCTTTCTGCGATGTTGACAAAAATAATCGCCTTTTATTATTTCCTGTATCTGTTAACCTTTTGAGACATAAAAATATGTTACACCAGTGAGAAAAATTCTTGAATTATTTAGTTAATATAAGTAGAATAATGCACATGACAGGGTATACATGTATATTTACTATTTCTAGAACAAATGATACTGAGCATAAATTGCGGATATTTTCCTCTAATTTTTAAAATGTTTTGATGTGTTTCAATTTTTTTCATTTTATTATTGAAAAATATATTTTATTTAGTAGAGAAAAAATTATATTAAACTAAAATTATAGCGTTGTGAAATCTAATGATAATTTCCAATGATTTTAATCATTTTATTCTTAAATTTAATCGAAATTTTAGAGTCATATTCATTTAGTATATAGGTAAACCGTCCAATCAAGATCTATTCCACCCAGAGATCGAATTTGACGGACGCAAACACGCAAAATGCGTGTTGATTTTGTAGACGGCGTGTTACAAAATATGTCACATGAAAGAAATGCGTGTAACATTTTTTCGCTTATTGTTACTGAATAACATGATTTCTTCTACACAAAATCAAGACCATAATTATGACAAAAACCATAAATTCTTTTGATTATTTTCCTTCCATGATTCCACCCCACCCAAAGCCCGACCCTACTTAATAAATGGATTTTTAAAAAATGTGAATACTAATTGATATAACGATTTGTATGTTACAAAATTAAAAAAACTTACCCTAACTCAATTGAGAAATCTTGTCCTTTACCAACATAAACTTGTAAAACTAAATAATGCTGTATTAATGTCACTGAAATATTAGAACAATATCAAAGATTTAGTGGACCTTTTAGTGTTGAAATCTTTTTAGTATCTCTACAGTAGTCAGTCATGAAATCAGCAATCTACGACATACTGTTCTGAGTAGTGGGGGCAGGGGAACAACCTTCACTAAATCTGATTCTATATAAGTCTACATTTGGGGCAATTCTTGATAGATATGATTATTTCATTTTAAGCTTAGGCTCTTTTGTACTGTAGCGAAAGGAAATCAGACAAAAGTCACGTAAGAAATGCAGTTTCAACACAAAAATATCACTTAAGGACTAACAGATTCTAGGTCCTTTAGTAAAAGAAATGGAAAATATCTGGAGAATATTCCACAGAGGCACTCATGAAACCAGTTTCCTGTAGAACCACAAATGTATAATCATCAGCTTAACGACTTCCCTGGTCTGCAATTGGTTCTTTTTACAGAAAAAAACAGCTGTACGTGGAAACCTGTGCACAGACTAGTTTAGTTATGCGTAACAAACTTACATGATTGTTTTGAATCTTTAGGTGTTGATAATTTGGTTGTAGCTGGGGAACCTTCTAATATGTACACAAAGCCTTTTACATCTTTTTCATAAATCTGCAAAAGATATACTTAAAGTAAAATGAAACTTATAATAGAAGTTAACTTTAAACATCAATTTGAAATCATTGTGAATACGAAAATTGTCAAGATCTCAAGTCTAAGTAAATGAAAGAAACACGATTTACTACATCCTGTCAACAAAATACTTTTCAGGTTAACTTATTGTAACTTCTGTTTTCTTTGGATACATGCGCAATGCAAGTGAGAGACATTTTGCATTAACATTGGCATTTTTCCCATTGATACAGCAGCCTAACATATGACTACTTCAACACCTTTAATTCTAAGATAAAATTTTATGAGAAAACACAGGCGAAATATTACATCAGACTAATTCAAATGCTTAACAACACGCATTTAGCCAGTTAGTTGGAGATTGTATAGATTGAATACAGTCATGGTATAGAGCCAACCTATCATCAAAAGCTAGTTAAACAATAAATATTCATATGCATAGCCTTTCTTAATACAGAAGCTCACTTCATTACTGCCAGTTGCACTGATCTTCGCGATATAAATAAAATAAAATGGGGTTTAATGTCCTACATTTTTGCACCAACTAGGCTAATGAAAACAGTCTTAGTGATAGAATATGATCCACTGAATGACTGGCTTTTAAATTTCTGTCAATAGTGGTCATTTCTTTGAGGGTTATGAATTAAAATTTTAAGGTACTGTAGATAACATCTTCAATAGAAAGCTTGATCTCACTTTAACTACGAACATCTTATCAAGGTCTTCACGTAATACCCTGCATATTTCGGCACTAATTTCGATTGGGTACAAGCGCAACTTGTGAGCCTATCAGATTTCTCGATCGTCGCGAATACCAAGTTTCACGGTTTCAAGCTAAAATGTCTACCTGTGATAATCGAGTTGCAAATTTCAAGGTTCGTTCAATGTCAAGGTTTCCGTGGAGGTTGCGATGTCAGAACCTCTGACTGGACGCTACTGCTCATGTGTCTGTAGATAACATAGCTATAAGTTCGGGATTTGTGAAGTAAACAAGCAACGGCCAGATGTTGTAAAACTCGCAGTCGTTGCTTCAGGAACATGTGTAGATAATAGACACAACCTAAAGTCAATTAAAGCTGGAAACTAGCTAGTGCTAGCTGAGGTACTAGCATTATATAATTTTTGAGAATAATTACCTTTTTGACACCCCCTGACACTTTCCAATTACTTGTGGAATCTTTACCTTGTGCACTAAATATTTCAAAATAAGGTCCACCCTTCAAAAAATAAAAAAAATAAAAACATTTACTAATACATAGTACCATATAACAAATAAGAGAAAGTTGGATTAATGTACTGTTGTACTAAGGAACAATAAGAATATCAAACTGTCAGTTTGATAGATTGCCCAACTTTCTTTCTAACTCTAGGAACATCTGATCAATGATGGAATAGTGAGTGTCATTAGCGAGGGAGCTCATTGTGTAGCAAGCAAGCATGGTGTCTAAATAGCACTGTACCGTAAATAAAAAAGATGGTGCCTTCTTGCAACAGTTTGGCATGGTCTATGTTATTATTATTATTTGCTGTGATCAAATGTATTTATTTTACGGTTATTTCCAATAAATATATTTTGGCTGTTGCATCTATCTGGTTTATCTTTCTTTATCCTTGATAAACTTGGCTGTTTCACTTATATGGAAATGTCTTAAAGCTTCTTGAAGGTTTTATAGTAATACTAATTTAAACGATTACATGTCATTTGGGACTCACGTCATTTGGGACTCCAAAAAATATGACCACGACATTTGGGACTCAGGTATACGACGTTTGGGACTTTGGTATACGCCGTTTCGGACTCGGGAATACGACGTTAGGGACTCAGGATAATTTATTAGAAATAGCCCAATTCAAAACACGAAAGAAAATATTTATTAACATGAAACACGTGGTTAGTAAAAGGCTCAACCAAACGATAAAACATTAGTTGAACTTACGGTTCTTTGATAATCATCGTTTCTCATAAAAGTTATATATTTATTTAAAACGAATAATATGCTGTTGAATTTATTTGAAAATGACCTACACAAAAAAACAAAATCAATATTTACACGACATGCAATCTGTTTTACAAGCCCCTAGAAATTGTTAACGATAATCCGTGAGCTGCACGTTGACATGCTTGTCGTAGATGGCAATACCAATCGATAAATTAGTGCGTACAAGGCAAAGTTTTTTTGTGGAAAATATAAGAAATGGCAACGATCAAAGCGGGATAATTAAAGCTGATTAACTGATAATCCCGATGTTATTGCAGTATGTTCAAAGAAACCTAACAGTTCTTTGGTGGATGAGGAAAAACGTGAGTTGTCAATCATCGAGAATGGCGGCCGTGTGTTGACTGCAGTTATACCGTTTCACGAAAAAACATTAGCAGTGGTCGGTCAATCAAGCTCGATTACTATTTGATAAAAGAAAAACAACGAAGTATTACTAAATATACACAAATTTTCAACAATATATTATTGTCAAGTTTTATACTCGCAGATAAAACAAAACAAAGGAGAAGTTTTATACTCGCAGATAAAACAAAACAAAGGAGAACTAGCAGTGTTAATCGCGGTCTCAACAATCGCCGATCAACTAAATAAAACGAAAGACAACTAAGACAGCTGTTACTATACATCTCATAAATAAATAGTCCCAACTGTCGTTTATATTGAGTCCCAAATGTCGTTTGTGTTGAGTCCTAATTGATGCCAATCAAGTCCCAAACGTTGTCAACTGAGTCCCAAATGTCGTTTATGTTGAGTCCCAAATGACGTGATACCATTTAAACTAGGACATTAAACAAACAGTATAGACTGTCGACCAGATAAATAGTTTAACATGAATAACATGAATTGAGATGACTTTTGGCCATCAGTCTGGCATTAAATTCTTTCAACTAAATAAGATTCTATTATTGATTAGGTAATAGGCCTATTAGGCCCTCTACATGTAAGTCTAACTACATATTTAGTACCAGTAGTACCTGAAAATCATTTTTAAACATCTTGTTACCACCACCAATGATTCTTCCTGAACATGAATGCAAACAAATGTGTTCCTTTCAATACCACTTAGACTCTATGTTCAAAGTAAAGTACTTCAGAAACCTTAAAGAACACCTTTTTAGGCGAAATGTCAAAAAAGAAAATATCGAAAACTTTCACTTTTCAGAATGTAAACAAATCCATTAAAGTTCAATTTCCAACTAAAATGGTTGTAATATTAGAAAGATGCACTGCAACACTAATTAACAGACACATTTCACAATAAATATGCAGAATAAATCTCAAAAATATTAAATATATGGGGTAAATATTGTCTTAATATTTCTAATTCTTCTCTCAGTATTTCGGCAGCCGCCATGTTTGTTGCTACGTAAATTAGCCAATGAATGTGATCGGTACAATTTATTTTTACCAATCAGAGAAGCTTTTGCATATTTGGGATTTAAAGCCAGTGTACAAATTTGTAACTTATCTATAAACGGAACGTAATTATATATTTTATTTTTGACTATAGAAATAAAACAAAAAAGTAACAAAAATATTTGTGAAATATTTAGTAGTTCTGAAGATATGCTATTGATTTTGTACTTTTATCAGTGTATCCAGAGAGTGAAGTTCGTTGTGTTCTATAATGTACGTTTTATGTTCAAATCAAAATTTGTACGACACCAACCGGAAATTTTAAACGGGAAGTCAAACGAGAAGTAGTGAGATCTAAGAAAAGTTGCAACACTGCAAGATAAATTTCAGAATATGTTTTAGAATTACATTGAAGTTGCCAAGTTTATCTGTAGTATAGTAATTTACATCGATTGAGAATGGGTGTCCCAAAGTTTTATCGTTGGATTAGCGAACGCTATCCATGTTTGAGTGAAACTGTCAAAGAATTTCAGGTAAAAAAAAGTACAAGATCAAATAAATGAAAAATGACAATCAAAACAAAATTGCAATTATTATTGTAAGATTTATTAGAAATAATTATGACACATCCGTAAGTACTGTTAGCAGTGTTTATTAAATCTATTTGATTTCATTTCGTATATAAATAATGTTTGAAATAACTGAATAACCCAATTAATGAATTTGAATAATGTCATAATGAATGTCAAAATAGTTAAGCAAGCGTTAGTAGTGTAAATGTAAAATATATTTATCACATGTGCACCAAACTGTAGCAAAAATGAAGCTATTATTTTAATAGCGAATTTTACATCAGTTTTGGCAACATCACCCAAAATCTGATTGTTATTAATGCTTACTTTCCTTGAAAACCTTGCCAAATGAACAGTCAGCACAGACAGGTGTTAATTACATGTGTAATATAACAGCTGTTTTTGTTTTGCCAGTATAAGTAAGTGAATTATGTGGACATAATTGTGTGAAGAAGGTTATGTGGTTAATGAGGTCATGGCTTCTCAATCACATCACATAATGATTGGAAAGTCCCAACAAACATATTATTAGAAATTATAAAATTTAAAAAAAAAAAAAGGCATTGCCAATTTCAAGAAGATCATGATTGTAATTAATTTTGTATTATATCAAATTCACAATTGCATTATATTTCCCTAATTACATGAATTTTAAAAAAAAGTGTAAGCAATTGTATATAAGCTTATACGTTGCAGCTTAACATTTTACACAACAAGACTCGAAAAGTGTGCATATCTACTTGTCAACGGCTGATTTTTAAGTTTGACAGGTAGTAAGTAAAACCACCTGTATCTTTTGGTCTCTGAAGATTAGCATTACAAGGGAGCAATTTGAATATTTGTGGGGGGGGGGGGCAATTTGAAAATGATGTCAATAAGAAAAAACTTCACATGTACCTTCCTTCTATTATTACTTTTACACCAACGAAAAGAATCAATATCTTTGTGAAGGATTTAATTTTATTATATACTTTTGAAAAATTCAATTTGTTTTCATATCAAAGGGGAGGGGGGGGCACAAAATAATTTGCGATTTTGAGGTAGGGCATGGTACACAAAAGGTTGGGGACCACTGCTCTAGAGGATGCCTTTTGAATAGTTTTTTTTTTTTTTTAACAGAAAAAGATTTGTTCATAATAAACCTGCAGATCTACTGTACTGGAATTTATGAGGTCATAATTATATTTATTTTCCAGATTCCAGAATTTGATAACCTTTATCTGGATATGAATGGAATTGTACATGTTTGTTCACATCCTGAAGATGATAATCCACATTTTCGAATCACAGAGGAAAGGATATTTAAGGATATATTTCACTATATAGAGGTATTATTCTGTCATATTCATCTGGTAATGTTAATCATATCCTATTTCCATGATTTATTATGAAATCAAAATTTGTGTTGCACCAACCAGAAATTAAAAAAAAAATCTTTCTTTTTTCATAAATTGTAAGCATTGGTCAAATATCATTGACAAGACTTAGCTTTGCCTGACATACATGTACATTGCAATATTATTGAAAAGAAAAGTAACCAGTTTCAGTGAAATTTGGAATGTTATCTACTTTCAGTTTATATTCCGCATGATCAAACCAAAGAAAGTGTTCTTCATGGCTATTGACGGCGTTGCACCAAGAGCTAAAATGAACCAACAGAGAGGAAGACGATTCAGGTAATTTGAAAGTTTAGATTTTTATGGAAAATTTTAATTTTGAAATAAGAGTAAAGTCAAGAAAAAGGGCTTTTAAAAAAAAACATAGATGCATAGTCTCTACACAGGATTATAATACTCCTTTGAAGAGTTTCTAAAAAGTTACATTGGGTCTATAGTTTCTAATTATAGGTCTTTAAAATCTCTTCTCTTGTCATACAGAATGCCATCTTTTCTTTGAAGAGAGAAATGTCCGTTTCATTTCTTCTAATTATACAAGAGTAAGAATCAAGTTTGACCATTCTTGTTGGATGATCTATTTGCTAGTATGAAGTGATTAGCTATCATATTCATTTGATTATTTTAGATCTGCACGAGAAGCTGAAGATTTGATTAAAAGGGCAGAAATGAATGGCGAAGTTTTACCTACAGAGAAAAGATTTGATTCTAATTGTATCACACCAGGTAATATATTCTCTCAAGATTTTATTGAATGAGAGCATCATGACCTGGAAAGTGTTTGGTTTATGTATTAGTTATTGGTTAGTATTGAGATGAGTTTCTGTTAAGACGAGGGTTCTATCTCCATTATGACATGGTCCAAGTATTAAATAAATCCTTCGTCTTTACAGTACTGTTTAAAGATTTTAGGAGGGGTTAGATGGCCGAATGGTTAGCATGTACTTGCTGTAAAATAAAGTCTGTCATTGAGTCAACTGGTGTGGTTTCGATTCCCTGGTTGTACGTGACAAGGAGTAAGGTCGCCTGTCCCACCTCGTGGGTTTCCTCCGGGTCCTCCGGTTTCCTCCCACTGGTAAAGACCCCTACACGCAAGCGTTAGTCCCGAAATGACCTAGTTTGTGTTGAGTGGACGTTAAACCCCATCTCTCTCTCACTATCTCTCTCTCTCTCTCTCAAAGTTTTTATTTATAACACATAGTCTATATTAGAATTATGTATTGATAAAACTTTTGCCACTGAAAATAGAACAACATAATTTTGTAAAAGTACAATTTAAATATGAGAAAACTACTTGAATTCGAGATTAAATACAGTTTTTTTGCAACATTTAATATTGATATTTTTCTTCTCAAGGTACTCCTTTTATGGTCAGGTTACAGGAAGCCTTGAAATATTTTGTTGTACAAAAAATAGGCAATGATCCTTTATGGCAAGGTCCACGTATCTTTCTCTCAGGCCATGAGGTAAGTTTTAATTATTCTATTAATTGTACCAAAGGAAAAATTACAAGATATTTGAAATCCAGTTTATATATGACGACAACTGAATTAATTCAGAACAAAATCTGGACATGAATCTGGTAAAGGTCTAGTCTCTTAATCTCTTTAAAGTTACAATCTCATATTTTCTAAGAAAGTCAGAACATAATTATTTCTATTTCTTTTGCTCAATAGGTTGTCAACTCACTATTATACGATCATAGATTATCTTTCTCACTCTTAAAAATCTTCACACCGGAAATAATAACACAATTACCTCCCTTGTTTTCCTATTCCCCACCATGGAATAGCTATCTTCAAACGTTTGAATTTGAAGTTGAAAATGATATTTTTGCCAATTTCTCAACTGGCAATAGTGAATTATAGGATTAATAGGATTATTCTTTAACAAGGTAGGACTGTTTATAGATACCATCTATTTTAGGGCTTTATTTTTATACATTTTAAAAATATAACTTAAAAATATGAAATTGTAACTTTAAGAGCTGAAGCAAAGTTTTATAATTATTCAGAATGGAGCAATTGACTTTGTTTTCTTGTTAATTGCATAATTCAATTGGACTAATGGTTATTTTGTAGACACCAGGAGAAGGTGAACATAAAGTAATGGATTTTATAAGATATGAGAAATCGAAACCAGGGTATGATTCTAACACCAGACATTGTTTATATGGTTTAGATGCTGATTTGGTATGTAATATTTATTTTCTAATTTCACATTAATTACAAAGTTATGTTTTTTAGACTTGAATTAATCATAGGTTGAGTGGCAGTGTATTCTAGATCTGTCCATTCAATATTTCTCTCATAGCACACTCTATGGCGTATGCCTGTCTTCATTAGCTCAGTAGGATGTTAAACCCCATTTCATTTCATTTTATGTATTCTAGATCAATGCAGATCTCTGGTCACTGGGATCAGATATTCATCCTTCGGGAAAATTATTGAAATAAAGATTTTTGATGAGATTCTCAAAATGATGACCTACATGTATGGATAATGAATCACTTTTCTTAATATTTTTTTGTGTGGCTAATTTGAATATCGATTACATTTCATTATGTTCATTTAAACCAGAATGCATGAATTCTTGATATTGAGATATATATTTTGTTTCTTTATAGATAATGCTTGGTTTAACCAGTCATGAACCACATTTTTCACTCTTACGAGAAGAAGTACGATTTGGTGGTAAAAAAGATCAAAATAAAAGGTAAGTCTGCAAATTACATACCTCTTGATCTGCAGTCCTTCACGTTTACGAAATGGTATGAGAGCCATAAAAAACCATTAGCCAATTTCAAAAATGGGGAAAAAAAGATCCTGTAAAAGAAAGTCTTCTTGATTCTACATTTTTTTGAATTAAGGGGAGCCAAATTGTATTTATGCGTGGACTTGTTAAATATTCTCCTTATATGTACCATCAATTTTCGTCAGTTTGATCACTTTGTCAGCATGCTTAGAACACAATTTGCACCAAACCAATTTTGCAAACCCAGTTTTGTCCCCCTCTGCGGCTGTTTGCCCTCCAGTAATTCCAATTTAAAAAATGACGCATACTTGACAGTTTTCTATTTCCAGACATACCTATGGCGATAATTAACGCAATGACACCAGTAGTACATGAAAACAAGTTAAACAATGTAATGTTATTAGACATGTCATTCTATCATTCCTGCGGACATTCTGCATCAACATCCGACGATATATTAGGCTGTTAAGTCACATCGCATTCTGTTGGCTGATTTCAGATTCTGTCCAATTAAAACAAGTCTTACATTAGCATACATCAGAATGAAAACGAGAGTCAATATGTTTAGTGAATAATTATGGTAGCCTCAGAATTACCATGGAAACGCTTGAAGGAGGAGGTCACTGTACTCAAATGTATGCAGTTTTAAAAATCAACAAATAGTGAAAGTATGGTAGTTCACGAATCTATTTAGCTAATATGCTGGCGTATTTAATGACTCCCCCCGAAGATAAGTCAAGTTTTTCGAGAGGCACGAGAGCTAAAGCACACCTTAAACGTGAAGGACTGGATCTGAGTATAAATCCACACCTCCAGAAGTTTTTGAAGTACATTTCTTAGATCAATTTTTTTAAAGCTATATGAAATTTGATTTTGTTATTTTCAGACCAGCTACCCCAGAAGAAACAACTTTTCATTTACTACATCTGTCGTTATTGCGAGAATATATAGATTATGAATTTGCTTCTGTTAAAGTAAGTACAACATTGTATACAACCTTGCTGTTTATGACAGACTAATTTTACCACTGACAGTCTTGCTTCACATTTTGTAATGTAATCTTGAATATGAAATTACTTAGTACCTGTTTGGATGATAAATAATTGTTCAATATACTTTATTACGTATATTAGTATCAGTACTATCACATGTTTTGGTAATGTAATAGTATTATCATTTATTAATATGTATTTTCTTGTATATTTCAGCCATTATTATCATTTCCATATAGTTTAGAGAATATAATAGATGATTGGATATTGATGGGTTTTCTAGTAGGAAATGATTTTATACCCCATCTACCATATTTACATATTAAAAATGATGCTCTTCCAATGTTATGGCAAACATATATGCAAGTTCTACCAACATTAGATGGTAAGTACCTTAGGGCCATGGTGACTAAATGAGCAGGACACAATGTAACCCGGGTATCATTTAATCTTGTGTATTTAGCATTAATTTCTTTTACATTCATTCAATATCAAATATTTGTTTAAAAATTAGTAAAAATTGTTTAAAATCACCAAAAATCATCTAATTGGTACTTGTGTCCAGTTTAAAGCTGACCATTCAATTTTGATAATGTGTGTTGTACAAGTGTTTAATTTCTAGATCACTGTTAAAAAATAAACAACCCAATTAATTATTGATATACAATGATTCATTTTTGAACAGTGGTCAGGAAATTAAATACTTGTAAATTGAACACTCATTATCAAAATTAATCTGTCAACTTTAAACTGGACACAAGTACAAATTAGATGATTTTTTGTGATTTTAAATGATTCTTACAAATTTTTAAACAAAGATTTGATATTAAATGAATGTGAAAGAAATTAGTGCTAGATACACAAGATTAAATGATACCCGGATTACAGTGACATTGGCACACTAACCTGGAGGTTCCGTGTGCGATTCCTACATTGGTTGAGAAAGTAAGTGGTGCAGGACAGTGGGACGAAAAACCAAGGTCCTGTGTACACATTGGCATGTATGTAAAAGATCCCTTGTGTAAGAGTATACCGTAGTGTTGCTATCCAGGTAATTTCCCTCATAATACACTGTTTGGCAGTCGGAGCAGAACAGTAGGACTTAAACCCCATTTCATTTCAGATTATGGCCCAAAAAGTTTTTAAATGCTGTTAATATGAACTATTAACCCAATTCACTCTTGTAGACAGGGCTTTATCGCGGCCCTAAATTGGGTTACTTTCTCTCACTGTTCTGCACTGACTGTCATCACTTCATATACACCCTTACTTTGTATACTATTACTGTATAACATTTCTGATATTTTAATTCAACATTTACCCTTAATTTTCTAGGTTATATTAATGAAGGTGGTCATTTAAACCTAAAAAGATTTGAAAAATATATCACAACATTGTCCAAGGTAGGTATATAGATGACATGTATTTTAGTTTACCGCAATATATCGGCACATTATAATTTACTGTCTTGATGGTCATTTGATCTAAAATTGAACAGAAATATAATCTTTAACCAGGTCACAGATGGCATATACTTTAGATTGTTGAAAATTCTGTCGTTTTTCTAAAAAAATCTGCCTGATTCCAAGAATCTAGCAACTGTATAGCTAATAAAATTTAAAATGTTTTTAAAAGATTACGAAAAGAATCACTATCTTAGACTGAGCAAGGAGTCCTTATATAAGTTGGATGCATATTGTTTCCTATAGAGTTGTATATTAATATAGGTTTAGTTGTAGATAGGTTTAAATATAACTGTATTGTATTTGTTTCAGTTTGATATAGAATCATTCAATGATCAGTTTACTGATATTAAATGGATGGAAAGTAAAGTTGGCAATAAACATATCAATGAATCTGCCGGTAGAGCTGCAAAAGAAGAAAACCGAAAAAAAGAAGAGCGTCAGAAGGTAGGTCAAAATTTATGGGTACAATCATCGTCTTATAGTCAGGCAGATTTTATTGCCAAAAATACTATTACCACCGTGGATAGATCAGATTGCCGAATTGTCGGGCAACCCTCATTGCACAAAACTCTAAGACTAGAGCAATCTTTTAGGACAAATCCATGACAGTACAGTGCAGATTTGAGGTCAAATGATTATGAGGATACTCAATTGAGAAGTCTGAACTTGAATTCTCTCAGCCCCTATAAAGATGTCATTTTGAATAAGCATGAGAATTTTAGATGATGAGGCATGTGTCAACAGTGAAAATACAATGTCGATCAATTGCCATAGCTGAAACATGATTATGTAAATATTTTGCTTACACCAAACCTGGGACAGAACTCATTGGTGTGTCAAACAATTTCTATTCTTCCAGTTCGGAACGTTTTGGACTGACTCTCAGTCTTAACCATGGTTTTATTATACCATTTTTTTTCTTTAGAAAATGGCAGATTTGAGTCCGTTTGCAGCATTTAGTATGCATGAAGATAGTGAACCCTCCGATGATCCCAGTAAGTCAATATGTATTTTATTTAGTCGTATATTGTAACAAGAAATTAACATATGCCTTAATCTGTCACCAGTCATGTTAATTTCAATGCACAGTTATGGTTTGTAACAAAAACTAAATTTTCAAAACCATTAAATTTATATACACTTTAACGATGACATGCTTTAGATGCAGGAGGCCTTGTCGAATAAGGCATTGGATCACTAGTCTGGAGGTTTCTTGTTCGATCCCAGTGTTAGGCAAGATAGTTCCTCAAGATTTTGAAGTTTGCTTTCCCCATGCTTCAGGCGCAGGACAGAGGGCACGTCAATAAAAGGTGTCTAGTGTATACCATTGACAGAAGGTTAAGGATCCCATTACAGTTGGAAAGCAAAATAGGCTGAGTTAAAATTTCCCCCTTAGCAAACTGTATAGCGTGTTAGCCCAGTTGGTTCAGAAAAGTAGGACATTTAAACCCCATTTCATTTACATATTTTGATTTCTTGTTATACAGCACCCCCTTTTTTAATTCATATTACACAACGGTATATTAGCTTATAAATATTTTTTATCCATTGTTACAAGTTTGATTTATATTTGATCAGGTACAGATCCGTCCATAGATAAAACTGATGATGAAGACGATGATTTTGATACATTTGATGCTGAATTTAGACAACATAAAAGAAATTATTATATGGATAAATTAGAATATGAAAATGTCACAGCGTAAGTTAATTAATTAAATTAGTAAAAAAAATGGTTTCTAAAGAAAGATCTTGAAAGTAACAGCGTAAATTTCATAAATTTGATTGGATTCTTAATTAGTAAACAAATTACTTTTCAAAGAATGAACCTAAATGTAGCACTGTAAATGGTTAATTAAATAATTCTTAATTAGTAAAAAATGTTTATGAAAGAGAACCTAAATGTCACATCTAATTTCATTAATTGAATGGATTCTTAATTAGTAATCAATTCTGTGGCAGATACTAGTAATACATGTATGATGGAAGTATGGTAACTGAATTTACACCATTACAGTGAGTACCTGTAGGCACACTGATCAGCAGTGAATATTCACTAAGCCGCTACAATCACTGATAGGGATGACATTGGTGTAGCTTAATGAGCCCCCAATATTAACTTTTTTCCTTCTGCAAATACAATTCTACAACATTTTTTTGAAGCATTAGAAAAATAATTAAAGATGTTTGATGTATTTGTAGGTAAAAAATATTTCCTATTTAGTGTAAATGGGTAGGTAAAATGAGTAAATGGCACCATTCTACTCGGACCAGTAACGTCTTATGTAAACAATGCGTGCGCCATTGAGCCAATGATTGACGACACATGATGAAACGTCACATGTTAAAAGCTGTCGTCTTTTACAGAGCTATTAGAGGACCTTTGTAATACTGCTGTGAAACAGATTGATCTGTAAATACTAAAAGTGTTTAAATAAAGTAACATGTTTATATTATAGAGATGTATTAGAAGATCAAGCTGAAGGCTATGTTTTAGCTATACAGTGGATTCTACTGTATTATTTTGAAGGTGTTCCATCATGGGGCTGGTAAGTTTCTTATGACGTCAATATTAAAGACACTATCAAATGTTTTAAGATACTATATCTGTGATTATAAAGGAATAGAAAAGGAAAAGTACCAATAGATTGATCAGATAAATAGATTTTGTTTGACTGTCAGTGGAAATCAACAGAACAAGACAAAGTATTGTCTTAATGTAATGCTGTAATGAAATATGTCCGAATTTCTATAGTCACAACAATTTGTGTAAGTGTGTTTTTTATGTAATTTTTCTCTGAACTTTATTTCAGGTTTTATCCCCATCACTATGCTCCATTTATCAGTGATGTCAAGAATTTTAGTGATATGAAGATAGAGTTTGATTATGGGAAACCTTTTCTTCCATTTCAACAATTAATGGCTGTATTACCAGCTGCTAGTAAAGATCTGTTACCGAAACCATTACAGGTAATTTAAGAGGATAATCCTTCATTTCTAGGGTTTATTTTGTGTTGGGTAAAAGTGAATTCATAGCATCATTGTCTTATAGATCAAGCATGGCAGGTTTACTTATGCTGTCATTCTTTCTAAATTTGTAGCATTGTTTCATTTAAAATCTGCAAAGTTTTCACTTTAAAGGTACAATGTGTAATACTAATAGGTGTTGTGCTGGTGGCACAGCATGATTGTAGTATTTAGTTTGATTCTACACTGCTGATTCAAATCATTGATTAACTGAAATTACTTTTCTATACACAGCATATTTATGGATAGCTTCACCTGTCACATTCATTTTCATTCCAGTTGAATTTGCACATGATAGATTTACATACTGAATTGCAATAAAGATAGTCTTAGAATATCCTTAGTTTCTTATGATACCTCTTGTTACTGAGAATCTGTGTGGGATGGATGTTCTCTCGGTGGCAAGTTCACAGGGCCAACAGCTTTTAAGTGTTAACACGTTGGACATTTGAAGATTTTTATTTCAGTAATAATAAATTTTTTAAAATTTCAGACATTAATGATAATGGACTCATCACCAGTTATAGATTTTTACCCACAAGATTTTAAAACTGATTTAAATGGCAAACAGCAAGAATGGGAAGCTGTTGTTTTAATTCCTTTTATTGAGGAGGTTAGACTTATATTATTCAATTAGCTTTCCCACAAAAAATTACTTTCTCAGAACAAAACCATGAAACATTAAGATTGATTAATTTGATGGTTGCCCAATCAAATAGTTAAATAAACTGTGATAAAATGTCAGTGATATAGTAATACATTACTAAAGATTTAGACCTTTTATATGTAAAACTGTATTTTATATATTTCTCGGTTTATTTGTTTATATATTTTATTTTGTTTACAGAAAAGATTATTAGATGCAATGGATACCCAGTATAGATATTTAAGTAAAGAAGAAATATCTCGTAATAAACATGGTCCATGTTTAATGTATCAACATAGTGTTGAGTCCCAGGGTGTTTATGTTTCTCCCTTACCTCTAGTATTTCCTGATATTGGTGCCAATCATTCCAAGTAAGTTAATCAAGTTGGAATCGATCATCACTGGTTCCAGCTATTGTATCTATTAAAAATGTTTTTAGAACATGTCTAGTTACAATTTGGTATTATCTTTTATTCAAACAAAGCTTATTTTGCCTTATTTATGGAAATGAAATGAAATGGGGTTTAACGTCCTACTGTTCTGCTCCTGCCTTTTTTATGGAGTAGGGTTGTCTGGTTAACCATAAGCTTTTTCTCTGAGGGCCTCTAGTTTCCTGTTACAGCTAAAGACCCCTATGTGAACTAGTTTGGGTTGAGTGTATGTTAACCATTATTGATTAATTCTGATTACTTAGTGTTTCCACTCAGATTTAAGGTACAGATTTATCTCATTTTTTTCAAGAACAAAAACTATTTTTTCAATTTATCATTTTAGATTAACAGAGATACCTATAACAGAATACATCGTCGATCCAAATAAATTACGTAAAGGTTTAATGGATGGAGTTAAATTAGATGTTTATTTCCCTGGATTCCCTACACTAAAACACATACCTCATAAGGTAAGCTTATACACTTGATTCACACATACCTCATACAGTAAGCTTATACACTCGAGTCACACTAAAACACATACCTCAGAAGTTAAGCTTATACACTTGAGTCACACTAAAACATATCCCTCATAAAGTTAACTTATACACTCAAGTCACACTAAAACACATACCTCATAGGTAAGCTTATACACTTGAGTCACACTAAAACACATACCTCATAGCCAATTTTATACACTCGAGTCACACTAAAACACATACTTCATATGGTAAGCTAATACACTTGAGTCACACTAAAACGTATATGTCATAAGGTAAGCTTATACACTTGAGTCACACTAAAACACATTCCTCATCAGGTAAGCTTAAAGTTTATTTTACTTAGATGACTTCTTTATAATCATGTTGAAGTTTTCTTTTCTTTTAATGGAAAATGGCATTGTTTTCAGGCACATCTCAGTAGTGATGGAGTAAAAGTGTTCCAGCAAAGTAGTCGAGGACAGAATATGATGTTAGATATAATACCAAACCCTGTCAGAGATACAGAATTAGTAATTAAAGAATTATTGGATAAAACAACTTATGTTGGCTGGCCACATTTATATGAAGCTAAAGTTGTTAGTATCATGGATGGTGCTGTTAAGTAAGTATCCTAAGTCAAACACAAATTAATTCTAATATGATTATCCTTAGTACATGTGTAAACACAAGTATTTACTATAAATGTTTCCTGTGAATACCCTTAATATGGATTTATTATGCTGTCACCCCTGTCTGTCTGGACATCCATTTACGTTTGTTTGTGGACACTCTACAGGTCACAATAGAGGCTATAGTTTTTAACATATATGTTTAGGGGGGTCGGATGGCTGAATGGTTAGCACGTGCGCGCTGTATCATAAGGCCTGTCATTGAGTCAACTGGCGTGGTTTCGAATCCCCGGTTGTACGTGACAAGGAGTAGGGTCGTCTGTCCAACCTCGTGGGTTTTCTCCGGGACCTCTGGTTTCTTCCCACTGCTAAAGACCCCTACGCGCAGTCGAATTATTGAAATAAAATTAAACCATATGTTAGTCCCGAAATGACCTAGTTTGTGTTGAGTGGACGTTAAACCCCATTTCTCTCTTTCTCTCATATTTGTTTTGATGCATTTTGATAATATATGAAAGTACTTGTATTTTTAAATGTGTTGAACATACGGTATCTGGGGTTTTTTCCCTTTTAGATATGATCTGGTAGAAGAAAGTCCAAGTAAAGGAAAGAAATCAAAGAGTCCAAGATATGAGAGAAGAGTACAGGATTTAACGAGAGATGAAGCTCAGATATTTTATCGTACTGTTGATAATATTAAAGAAAGGTATACTATCTTTACTAATATTATGTTTTCACTCTTTTATCGTACTGTTGATAATATCAAAGAAATGTATATTATCTTTACTACTGTTGACAGTTGGAATTCGATGTAAGAGTAGGCCGTAGTGCCCAGTTCGGAGCAAAACAGTAAGACGTTAAACACCATTTCATTTCTTTACTACTGTAAAGCCTTTTCTTTGTTTTATTGATTAAAGGAGCTAAATCACTAACATTTGGGACTTAGAAATTGACACAATTGGGTCACAACTCATATAATACTGTAATATGAATGTATATAAACTGATATACATTCAATGGTTTCCGTTTTTACTCTAATTTCAAATCAGTTATGTTCCGCGAAATAAGCCCGCAGTCTCAATTGAATTCAAGTTCCTAGCGTCTGGTTATTCCAGTCTACATACGCCGTTTGGTTTGGTGCAATATGTCTAGCCTCGTTCCTCGAGTCTCTTGCTAGAACTGGGGCTGAAACGCATTATGGTACACGATTCGTGTACCAATGGCAAAATGTTTATTTTGTCTTAAATATTGGATATCAGAAGCCCATCTTTTTCCAGTAAGATCACAGCATCAATGTTGATTTAAATTGACAAATAATTTGTGTTTTCAATGTTGAAGATTTTGGATGATATTGAGTTAGAGACTTAGCTACTTTAAATTTGTACTGTTCTGGAAAGACTTAGAATCTTATATGAAAATAACTATTTTTTCAGGCCTCGAATTCTAATCTTTTTAGGGCCCTGCCATTTTGGCCTCGGGTTTTGGCCAAATTTAGGGGCACCAAGGCCAATGATGGGGGCATCAAGTCTAAAAAAGTACTCTTTTGGAAGAATCAATTAGTAGTAGTTTTTGGGTAGGCTGACACCTTGGGGTATAATTAAATGTGGATTATAAATGAAACAAATTGTTTATCCATTTCAAAAATATTAATTTTTAATTTTCTTATAGTCATCAAAATAAACAATAACAGCCTGCATCATTATGCATTTTTATATTTATATGTTGTTTTATATATACTATTCAAAAAAAGTAGGGGATATTTGATTTTTAAGTGTTATTAAAGTCACCTAATGAATCTGACGAAGAAACAAATGACAAAATGAAATGAAGTTCACATTCATCGATTTATTCCAAATGATCGTTAGACTAAGTAAGGCACAGACTGACCATTATAAGGGTAAAATGATACCCGGGGTCAAACAGCAAAGTTACCACAGCATCACAAACAAGTCAGTAACGGGTAAATCCTCCTCTGTTTGCCAAACAAGCATTGATCCGACGTGGCATACTCCTAATGAGACGTCTAAGGTCATTTTGGTCCAGATTGTCCCATTCCTGTTGCAACGCAGCAGCAAGTTCTTGGACATTGGCAGGACGTTGTTGACGTTGACGTAACCTCTGTCCAAGCATGTCCCAGACATGCTCGATGGGGGAGGTAACCTGTAACGATCCTGGCCCTGTGACATCTTGCGTTGTCATCCTGGAAGATGAAACGGCGGCCATGACGTCGTGCGAACGACACAACATGGACTGCCAAGATGTTGTCCCGGTAGTACTGGCCTGTAACATGCCCTGCAACAACATGTAAAGCCGTTCTTCCAGCAACAGTGATGCCTCCCCACACCATAACAGAACCACCCCCAAATCGATCATGTCTGATGACGTTAACGTCTTGGAAGCGCTCGTTTCGACGACGCCACACCCTCCTACGTCTGTCCAAAAAATCAACAGTGAACCTTGACTCATCTGAAAACATCACATTGCTCCAGCATCGAGTATCCCAGTGTTGACGATCCCTACACCAACGACGTCTTGCCTGAATGTGATGATCTCTCAAACAAGGGATCACGCGAGGACGTCGGGCGCGAAGGTGACCCCTATGCAGTCGATTCCGAATCGTCTGGCCACTCACTCTCACACCAGTGTCTGTTTGAAGACGAGCGCTGATCTGATTTGCTGTGATGACACGATTTCTCAAGGCCAAGGTACGGATAAATCGATCCTGGGCTTGAGTTGTCGCCCTTGGTCGACCTGAGCGTGGTCTGTCCTGTACAGATTGTGTATCACGGTATCTGGACCATAGCCTGCTTATGACAGACTGAGAAACATTCATCGTCCGCGCCACAACCGCCTGTGTTGTGCCGATCTGTAGCATGCCAAGGGCACGTAACCTTTCATTTTGGGTAAGCCGACGCATATCAAAATTTGTTTTCTGGTCACTAAAACAATTAAACTGATGTTTCCACCCTGGAATTCAATGCCACAATGACTGTAACATTCAAAGTCAGAGTCGTGCAAATCTTGGGTTGGACCCCCATGATGATCCCAAGCATCACCTGCATTCCATGCGGTAGTTATTGGTGCGTTTGGGCGTCACATGTAACTGGAAATGTTTCTTCTGTTAGGTTCTATAGTGACTTTTTTCGTAGTCATTTGCATATTTTAGTATTATGCCCCCAAAATCAAATATCCCCTACTTTTTTTGAATAGTATATGTAGGATTGTTATGAATTTAATAAATACATGAACAGACATAAAAACTAAATTACGGATTAAAATTGTCCTTCAGTGCTTCACACTCTCAGAAAATTAACAGAAAATATTGGGCATTTAAATAAAATGAAACTGGCTTTTAAGGTCCTACCAGACATAGATTAATACGTCTTACATTTCAATAAACCTGTTAGATTTACTGTCCCGTAGCAACAATCATTTGATTTGTTTTACTCATCATGACGTATGGAACTGTGAAATGAAAGACTGTGACCTCTTTCAAAATTAATTTCGAGGCCTGTTTTTTATAACAATCAGCATATCTAAGCAAAGCAAAGTGAACCCCTATGAAGGCTGTACTTATTAATTTTTATACGCCCACATTTTTATGTGGACGTATTATGCCGTCGCCCCCGTCCGTCCGTCCGTCCGTCCACAATTGTTTGTGGACTCTCTACAGGTCACAATTCTTATCCGATTTCGACGAAACTTGAAATATAGGTTTATCCCCAAAAGATCTCAGCTGCTTTCGATATTGGCATGTATCGGATCGAAACTTCATGGATTATGGCCCCTGTTTGTACGAAAAATCACGTTTTTAGCTTGTGGACCCTATAGAAGTCATAATTTTTATCCGATTTAAAAAAAACATTCTATTATATCACCGTTACACCCTAAGGATGACTGAATTCGAATTTCGTGAAAATCGGCCCAAAATTGACAGACAAAATGGCCGCCATTCGTTCCCAAATAGCGTAAGAATATGGTATATCAAGGTTGTGGACCCTATAGGGGTCACAATTTTTATCCGATTTTGTTGAAACTTGAAATGTAAGTTTATAACCCAAAGATCTCGGTTCCTTTCGATATTAGTGCATATCAGACCGTAACTTCCTGAATTATGACCCCTGATTGTACGAAAAATCACTTTTTTAGCTTGTGGACCCTATAGAAGTCATAATTTTTACCCGATTTAAAAAAACGTATTATTATATTACCGTTACACCCTAGGGACGACTGAATTCGAATTTCGTGAAAATCGGCCCAAAATTGACAGACAAAATGGCCGCCGTTCGTTCTCAAATAGCGTAAGAAAATGGTATATCAAGGTTGTGGACCCTATAGAGGTCACAATTTTTATCCGATTTTGTTGAAACTTGAAATGTAAGTCTATAACCCAAAGATCTCGGTTCCTTTCGATATTCGCGCATATCGGACCTTAATTTCCTGAATTATGGCCCCTGATTGTACGAAAAATCGCATTTTTAGCTTGTGGACCTTTTAGAGGTCATAATTTTTATCCGATTTAAAAAAACGTATTATTATATCACCGTTACACCCTAAGGACGACTGAGTTTGAATTTCATGAAAATCGGCCCAAAATTGACAGACAAAATGGCCGCCGTTCATTCTCAAATAGCGTAAAAATATGGTATATCAAGGTTGTGGACCCTATAGAGGTCATAATTTTTATCCGATTTAAAAAAACGTATTATTATATAACCGTTCCACCCTAAGGACAGTTGAGTTTGAATTTTGTGAAAATCGCCCCAAAATTGACAGACAAAATGGCCGCCGTTCGTTCTCAAATAGCGTAAAAATATGGTATATCATTCAAGGTTGTGGGCCCTATAGAGGTCACAATTTTTATCCGATTTTGTTGAAACTTGAAATGTAAGTTTATAACACAAAGATCTCAGTTCCTTTCGATATATGCACATATCGAATTGTAATTTCCTGAATTATGGCCCTTGATTGTAGGAAAAATCACTTTCTTGTTAGCTTGTTCTCTATCCATCTCTCGAAAATGTGCGCGTATCCTGCCTGGCAGCCGCTGGTTTACTGTTTTTTTGTTTTTACACAGATACCATGATCGTCATGGTGTAAATATAGGCATCACATCTCTCATAATAAATGCTTGTCCTATGACTGGAAGAAAGTATGCTTGTGGTTCACATGGGAAGATAACTCTAGAAAAACAGTTCTCCACTCAACCAGTAGCGTTTGCTCATCAAGCTACAATACAGGTAATGGTATTGTGTTAGCACTAGCAGTGATACACTGTTGGTTTCATTTAGATTGTGAGGACATCTGTCCAGGCTGCAATCAGTGATATTTATTATATTCAGTAGTTTCCTTTTTGCATGATCAAGGAGATTTCAATTAATTCCAACCTAAGTTTATTAGATTAAAATTGTAAGAAGCATTCACTAATCAACATGCTTTCAAAATGACTACTGACAAAAACATTTTTTAAAACATACAATTTTAATCAAAATGTTTTTGTATGTTTGTAGAATATATCTGTTCATGATCCAGCTTTCTGTCAGTTTATGTCAATGGAAGAACTGTTCCCTGCAGAATCACCTGTGTTCATGTTAGGTTCACCACATTATGGCTGTCAGGGTCAGGTAAGTTGTTGAAACAAGGTGGACTGAAACCATAAAATTTTTATATTCTCAGCAACTACTAAACCAATTTAGTACATATGATGTTTTAAATTAGTTACAAATTGTATATAACCAAATTAGTTACAAATTGTTTATACCAAATCAGTTACAAAGTTCGTATAACCTAATCAGTTACAAATTGTTTATACCAAATTAGTTACAAATTGTTTATACCAAATCAGTTACAAAGTTTGTATTACCAAATTAGTTACAAATTGTGTACAACCAAATTACAGTGGACTCTGTTACATCTGACATAGTACAGGATTGTTCAAATATGCCGGATTAGACAGCATGATGGAATACTCAATACAGGAAGTATTATTGTACCTTCAAATACCAGAAGTATAATCTTCTTCGGTTGTATGTATTTGGTGGCAAAAATCAATATTTATGTTGTTATAGCGCTCAGATTTTTATCTCACAATGAACGGTCGGGTAATGCTTTAAAAAACAAAATGGTTTCATCACAAAAATCTTTTCAGGAGAATACCCTTTAATAATAGACAGAATGCGCATGCGGAATTCTTCAACGGTATGAAGATTAACATTCGCACTTTCCCCGCTAACTTTAAAAGTTCATTCGACAAACCTTGCCAGACTCTGGTACTCTATATTCATAGAATTGGCCGAGGTGCGCCAAATGTTTAAAAGCTTTTATGTTGAAACTACTTGTGCGTCATTATGTTGATATCAAGGTAATCAACAAAGACCAACACTAGCATTAATCTCACCGATAATTGATTGGTGATTGCTTGTCAATCTTTCGTAAGTGAACACTGACGGATTGAAGGCTGAATTATACAATATTAATTTAATGCGAATTGTGTGATGGGACCGCTGATTGATATCGTAATTCGCAATAGTCAGAATATGGATTCCTCAAGACTTTTTTGGTTGAAGTAATAAGGAAATAAATCGGGACATGAAAATGATGACGGATTTCACAGAATGCCGTAGTATTCAGAAGCTGGATGTGACAGAGTCCACTGTATTTACGAATTGTATGTGACTAAATTGTTTCAAATTGAATGAAGTGAATGTTAACTTTAACTGTTAAAGTGAGAGGTGTCCAAATTGTCTTGACCCGTGTGCTTTGTACTTTAAATCATTGAGTAGTTGTGTTTTTTTATCCCACACTTGTAATGTGACAAGAAGTAGGGTCGTCTGCTTAACCTGGTGTGTTTTCTATGAGTCCTCCCACTGCTAAAGACCTGTATGATCAAGCAAGTTATTGAAATTAAATTGTACCATATGTTAGTTCTAAAAGGATCTAGCTTGTGTTGAGAGGATGTTAAACACGATTTCTCACTTTCTGTTAACTGTTGATATTTATTGTAATTTTGACCATCTTTGTATTTGTAGGTTGTGGAAGTAGATACTGCTGAGGGTCGTGTTAGAGTGAATTTTACTGTATTAATAGAACCAGATATAGAAAAAATACTACAGAGTCAACAGGTGAGCGATAACTTACTATATAAAATACAATAGAGATACAACTGTTCCTCTTGAAGAAGGGGGGTTGGATGGCATGGTTTCGATTCCCTGGTTGTATGTGACAAGGGGTAGGGTCGCCTGTCCAATCTTGTGAGTTTTCTCCGGGTCCTCCGGTTTCCTCCCACTGCTAAAGACCCCTACGCCAAGCGAATTATTAAAATAATATTGAACCATAAGTTTGTGTCGAGTGGACGTTAAACCCAATTTCTTGCTCTCTCTCTCTCTCTCTCTCTCTCCTCTTGAAAACCTGGAACAGGTTTCATGATCAATTTAAATTTAGCAGTGAAATTAATTCTGAATTCATAAAATTGATGAACAAGTGTGTATAAATGGATAATTTGTATTGAGCAAGAAGAAAGACAACACACCTTCATTTCTAATACTAAAGATGAAAGCAGTTTTAAGTAATCCATTAGGACTACAGAAATTATTGGGGTTTTTTAGCCTTTTTAACCACATTTATGTCGTAAGAAACTGAAATCATCAGTAAAATCAAGACATTTTATCTGATTGATTTATTAAATCTGATTTTGACGGCATTATGTTTATATTCCAGGGTTCTTCCAGTTATATGCCTGGTTTTGTTGCTGCACAGAAACTAGCTATTAATACACATTTCTTGTCACGGATAACTGGAACTATTTTCTTACAACGTGGCTCTCCTGATAACCCCAGTAATGGTAAAGTTAATATTGGCTTGAATTTGAAGTTTTCTAAAAGAGGAATGGAAGTTCCTGGTTATACAAAGAAATCTGAAGATGGTTGGCTGTATTCACAGAAAGCTGTGGATACTGTAGGAAAATATATAGAAAAGTAAGTCTTCATTTTTCCGACAGTAAAAAGTTAAAATTAAATCTAGCTCTAATAATTCTTATGTATCTGGTTTTAACACTTTAACCTGGGTATCATTTAATCTTGGGATTTAGCATTTATTTCTTTAACGTTCATTCAATATCAAAACTTTGTTTCATAATTTGTAAAAATCATTTAAAATCACCCGAATTCATCTAATTTGTACTTGTGTCTAGTTCAAAGCTGACCATTTAATTTTGATAATGACTGTCCAATTTCCAAGCATTTAATTTCCTGACCACTGTGTAATGTGATAGTAGAAAATGGAAGTGAGCTCAATTCTAAATATAACAGTCAACCCTCATAAATTACAAGGTTTAATATAGTTTGTTTTAAATCATTGGACTTATTGTTATCTGTCTTTAGAAACCATGTCAATATTGTTAATTATTTCTCTCTTTTGTTGATTATTTTAACATTTGTCTCTTCACATTACCTGAATCAGTTTTTAAATTATCACAAATTTATTTCAGATTTCAAGAGTTATGTGATTTTCTCTCTAACAGTGATAATAATAGCAGTGATATGTACTCAGCTCATGATATATTTGGTGATAACTGGTAGGTTAACTTTGATTACATCGATGCAAGAAAAATCAATCAGGGCATGCGATCGGACAAATTTTGTAAACAAAGTAATAGAAATATTTAAAAGATCTAGAAGTAAACTCAGTTGAATTATGGTCCATATTGCACCATACAATATGGGAGATAGTCCACATTGGGGCTACTACCTTCTCGACAGTTAGATTACTATTTGCACACATGGATAAATTATATATTAACAGAACACAGTTTTTATGGGGTACAATCACTAGTTTATTCTAAAAGCACAACGTTTCGACAAGTATCCTCTTATCGTTATCAAGCACAAATTGTCATTGTCATTTGTGCTTGATAACGATAAGAGGATACTTGTTAATGTGTTCCTCGATCGCTAAATGCCACTAAAAGATTATAAATTATATAGTTTTGTTAATCTCTCATATTTCATGGAAATGAATATAAAAGTGTAAGTGTGCGATTGGGAAATTTGAACAACTGAGCATCATACATTTATGTTTCAGTGGTGAGAAGATAAAGGAGATTGAAGCATTTATCAAAGCATTACCCTGTTCCTCTGTGGCCCCTATTAAATCAGGTTCAGATATGGTAGATGAACATATAGTAAAAGCTATAGAAGAAGAAGCAACAAGAATACATGTAAGTTTTTACTAAATGACAAGAATCTTATTTCTGAGGTGTTTTCGAGGTTTGTGATTTGGCAATAACAGAAAATTGGTAGCAGATTTCTTTTACGAAACATTAAGTCACATTTTCATTTATTCACTAAATTTAAGTTGGTGAGAATATGGTTCAGGTTTTATTAAAATTTCACTGTATTCATTTCTTATTATTTTAATTCAGGAATTAAACAAGAAGAAAGAAAGATGTATTAAGATGCAGGTTAAACCACATTTACTATACAGGGTGAGTTAAAAAATCACATTTACTATACATGGTGAGTTAAAATATCACATCTACTGTACAGAGTGAGTTAAAATATCACATCTACTGTACAGGGTAAGTTAAAATCTCTCATCTTTTGTACAGGATAAGTTAAAAAATATCACATTTAATATTCAGGGTAAGTTAAAATATCACATTTGCAATACAGGGTAAGTCAAAATATCACATATACTGTATAGATAGGGTATGTATGTAAAGATATCACAGTTTATTGTACTGGTAAGGCAGTACATCACATCTACTTTACAGGTTTAAGTACCAGTATTCTAAAACTATACAAATTTTTCTGCTTCAGCATATGATTTCATTTATGACATTTTTGATATCAGTGACTGTACATAAAATAAATTGCTTTGATATCTAGGGTAAATTTTAAGTTTACACTATTTAATTATAGATTTTTCTGTGTCTTGTTGGGATAGTTTTACTATATTTTATTTATTTACTCATTTTATTTTCAGCCAATCATTAGTTTAGGACCTATAATGCCTGATCCTAGTGCTAGATTTGAACTATACGATAGAATAGTGATATCTAAACAAGGTTATGCTGTACCGTTTGGTTTACGTGGTACAGTAGTTGGTGTACATCCAGCAGAAAAAGAAATGGATGTTTTATATGATGTTGTGTTTGATGAAGAATTTGTTGGTGGTATTGAAGTTAGGTATGTAATCATTATTCATATGTGTCCAAAATAACCATTCATTTAAAGATCAACTAGCATTATAGAGGCCCACTATTGAGCTTTTTAGTTAGAGCAGAACAGTAGGATGTTAAATTTCCACTGAGCTTTCTCGAATTATGTCGTTCTTAAAAACAATCAGTCTTCAAAACACAAGAATATCAGGAAACAATCACTACAGATGAAACATCTACTCACATGAGTCACAAGGAATATTTTGTTGTCATTCTATTGACGATCTAGACACACAATCGATCATAACCCTGTTAATTTTGATTTACTTTATTAATTCAAAATTTATTTCTAACAGTTAAAAAAAAACCATGGACACAATTTTCTGTCATTTTGAGATTAGATTATAGTTATGTCATTTCAATGGTTATATGTGCAATGTGAACAGGGATTTGTTCAGGGGAGCAGCCTTTCTGCAAACTCTTTTTTTGAATTGCAAGTGCTAAGAGTACTTTAACATGCAAAATTAACTAGAGAAAATCTACATACATAAAATAAATAACATTTGTTTATGTTTTGTTTATAGATGTTCCAAGAACCGTGGCTATCGTGTTCCATGTTTTACAATGATTAATTTAACTTATGGTGACATGAAGGAGAAGGGAAAATTACATTTACGAGACCAAACTTCAGGTGCCAACAAATCAGAAAATAATTCAAGACATCGAGAGAATAAACCCGTCAAATATGGTATTCGTTATTCCGAGGGGTCAAATAGAGGTGGAAGGTCTGATTCCTATCCACGTAAAGGCTATGATAACAATCAGCATGGCTACAATCAGTCTCCACGAAATGCCTGGGGTAATTCAAACCAAGGTCAAGGTGGAAGCAGAGGTCAGGAGAACAGACAGGTCAAGGTTGGTGGTTGTTATGACTATTATTATATGACAGTTTCTGATATAACAATACATCCAGTCTGCTAATTTGTTAAAGGATGATTGCAATAAACTAATATATGTTGTCTTTTTTCTTTCAAGTTTCTAATTAATGGCAGAGTAAATAACATAGTAGAAATAAATCAGTGAAAAAAGAAATTCTAAAAATTTGTGAATCTGTTTAAGAAAGTATCTCTTTGAAACCAGACCAAAAAGTATGAATTAATAGGCTGAATTTAAACACTATCTTTAGTATAAGTTCAAATATATGGCTACATTGCCACATTATCTCATGTTATTCTAATCATATCATTTTTGCTGGCCTTTTTGTTGTGCTAAGATCTGAAAAGTATTAAAATCTCCACCATAAACTTTGATAATTTCAACTGGCCAATTAAAGAAAGATTCTTGTATAATGTGACATTGTTTGGGATCACCTGTTACTCCAATTAGGATTTTTTTTTCTCATTTGACGTCATTTTTTGCCACCAGATTAATTTTTGATTATTTGTTAATATATAAGACTTTCTATGATACAAGTGTTTTTAAACACACTTTAGAATAATATTTGGTTTTGACAGAAATAGCCACTCGCCAAATGTGTATCCTATTTTTGAACTTCATTTGACTTGGCAACCATTAATATTTACCCCTGAATATAATCGAAACCACAGATTGCATTAAGAATTTATCTTTTAAAGACATTGGTAACTCTGATTTGATTGTGCCTGATTTATTTTTAGATATTTAACAATGAAGGATATGATGTTGATTTTCCAAGTGGAAGCCATCCACAGTTTGTTACACCAAAAGTTAACTCTGCCCACAGAGCACCACCAAGAAAAACTTATGCAGATCTCGCTGGTAATAGTAGAGGTCGATCACAGGTAAGAATATTTTTGTCTTTTATTAATTTGACCCAATAACTCAAAAATATTTGTACACCAGAATTCGGAGTTCTATGCAATTAAAGGAAATGAAATGGGATTAACAAACTAAATTTCTGCACCGACTGAACTAATGAAGACAGAAAGTTTTGCCAATAATGAGGCGTTACCGCCTACTCTTATATCGATTTCTAACTATGAAGGGTTCTTTCACGTGCACAGCAACACATACCCTGGACCTTGGTTTTGCATCCCATTTGAATGACTAGACACTGTATTGGCCAGGTCCTCCATCTTGCACCTCTGACAAAGGAAAACCACATTTAAATATCCCAAAGAACTTACTCGGCTAACTTAGGGATCGAAACCTTGACCTCCAGTTTAGCGAACCAGCACCTTACTCACTGAGCCACCACGGCCCTGCACAAACCTAATTGTTTATATTATAGTAACAACATTTATATCTGAATACATGTTCTGTTTAAATTATTTCATATGTTGGAGGTCAAGTGGTCTTAGGATTGCACTTAAAAATACACCATATGTTAGTCCCAAGATGAGCTTTTCTGTTGAGTAGACATTAAACCTTCACACTCAACTTTGATTTTATCCTTTAATGAGCGAAATGGTTGTCTTTTTCAGCAACAATCTTGGACAGGTACTGCTGATTCTGAGTTTTCTGATATGTGGTCACAACTTCAAGCGAAATCTCCCCAAAAACCAACTACAGTAGAGCCACCTAGCCAGACAGAAGAAAACAAAGGCCCATCACTCATAGATGCAGCCAAAGCCTTGAATAAGTTATCTCCTCCTGCTGGTTGTCTTAATGTGAAGTCAATAGAGAAATCTAGTGATAGCGTACCTAACGTGAACAATTCTAATCCTGTATCAAATAGTACTAAAATAGATTTAAATAGATTGTTTGATAGTGTAGGAAATAAAAAGGTTGTTGTCAGTGATGAGTTTTCATCCCATTTTAATTCCTTGTCATTAGCAGCTGATAGTGCAAAACAGACAGAAATTTTAGGTGCTTCACCTAATGAAGTAAGTACAATTTACAAATTATACTATTCTAAAATATGATGTGAATTTGCACATTGACATGTGTTTGATCATGCACTTTGTGCAGTTGTTTAAATGAAAGTGGTGCCATTCCTGAGTAAATTTCTCGGTCAAGCCTCAAACCATCATAAATCCTACACTTCTTTCACAATCCACAGAAAAATCTAATGTAAAGTCATAATGTTGCCAAACATAAATAAGTTTTTTTTACAGGTTCATTAAAGTTATTTTTTAACATGGGTGTGGGAGGGTGGATGGCCGAATGGTAAGCTCGTGATTGTTGTATCATAAGGCCTGTCATTGAGTCAACTAGTGTGGTTTCAAATCCTTGGTTGTACGTGACAAGGAGTAGGGTCACCTGTCCAGCCTCGTTGTTTACTCCGGGTCCTCCGGTTTCCTCTCACTGTTAAAGACCCCTACACGCAAGCGAATTATTGAAATAAAATTGAACCATGTTAGTCACGAAATGACCTAGTTTGTGTTGAGTTTATGTTAAGCCCCATTTCTTTCTCTGTCTTTTTAACATCTGTGTATGTTTTATATCTTACAGAACACTGGTGATTATTTAAAACCGCATATTACAAGTTCTTTAGGGGAATCCCCTCCTGATAGTTCAGCACTCCCCAATCCTAAATCTTATGGGACACAATTATCATTGAAAGAATTATTTGATAGTGAGTAGTGTTTCTTTAATTTTATTCAGTACAATAATTGATTATAAAAGTTGTTATTGGTCAGATGTAATTTTGTATATTAATGGGTGTAAAATTATTAGTCAAATTTCTTTTTAAGGAGCACTAGAATAATTTTGAATACAAATTTATTTTATTGTTAGAGAACTGTCTTTATACATTATGTTATGGCTCAAAATTTATTGACAGAAATTAAAACATTGAATTTATAATACTTATAAAAAATCATTTAAATTTGGGCTTCTTCATTAAACTCTGAAAAACTGAAAGGTTGGTGTATTATTTTAGGTGCTAAAGAAAGTTCTGTGTCGCCATCACAGCAACAAGAAGGAACATCTAATAGAAACAAACCCCTTAAACATCATTCTAGTCATCCGCATAATCAGTCACAGCCTAGACACCAGAGTGATACATCCCATAATACAAGGTAAGTACTATTCAAAGTTATATATAACAATTATTGTTATTATTGGGAATTTTATTGGAATTTATTCTGGGATTAAACTCAATATAGCAATAAGAGATTACTTGTCGCTATAACAACCAATGTTGAATTTAATATAAATGGTTGTTGTGTTTTGTCTTTATGAAGCTTTGTACACAAATCAACCTATTAATATTATAATAATAGTTATTTCCTTTGCTAATTAGACATTTCTGAGATTTTAATTATTTTTGTGTTTCCATTGAAATACTTTTGACATAGTTAATCACTCCTATGTGTAATTGATAATGTCAATCATTATTGGATTACAGAAAACCGGTAGAAGATTTGCATAATCTGTGTGTAACAATGTTCAAACAACCACCTAAATATGATATTAATACATTCAACCAAGTAAGTATTACCAACAACATCCAGTTGTTTGGATGGATCAAAAGAGTGAGGTCCTGTGTACACAATGACGTGAACATAAAAGAACCACTGACAGTCAGAATATGATGAAGACTGGGCGGAAATGCCACTGTCCCCTCATATAGCTCACTGCAGAGTGTATGCCCTTCTTTATTAGCATGGTCAGTGGTGTAGGATGGAGGGCCTGGCAAGGGACAACATATAGTCATTCGGATGGGAAAAGAACCCTTGACAGTTGGAATTTGATTTAAGAGTAGACCATAGGCAATATTTCCCTCATGACACACTGTATTACATTTGCCAGTCTTCATTTGGCCAGTTGGGGCAGAACAGTGGGACGTTAAACCCCACTTCATTTCTTTCTTTATAAGCCCAGTTCGTGCAGAAAAGTAAGACATTAAATTTCATTTTACTTCAAATTTTTCCATAGAAAAAAGATTGCATTTTATTTACTACTATTTGACCTAGTCAAATGAATGAGTTGTCTGGGATTGTACCTGAAAAGTTTTTTTGGTTTGTCTGTTTAATTGATCAAGAAAATACATATACCAATGGTTTAAAGGGACCATAACACTCTTGCTGGCTTGACAGCTCCAGAAAAAAAAAATAGACTTATTCTAAGTACTAGATGTGTTAGTGTCCTACCTGTTGTGTAAATTATCCATTAAATCATATTTTACTTTTCCAAAGGGTTCAAAAATATTTTTAAATCTAAGTCACATTTGAAAAGGTTTACGTTAGGCTTTTCAAATCATTCAGTTGAATTTTTCCAATTTTTTAAATTAGGTGTGTTAAGATGAAATTTGTATCATCAATTAATTGGAATATTGTAAAATAGTACAATTTTTGACCAGAATAAAGATTGGGACATATTATTCAGTTACAACAAGAGTGATATTGAGCCTTTAATGACAACCATGAACCATTCTGTATAACTGATCAATTTATATTTTAGAATAGTCATCAAGTATTTGTAACCATACCAAATATGGGACGATTTAATGGTGCATCTTGTGCTACAAAGGAAGAGGCTAGAGCCAGTGCTGCTAGTATAGCACTATTACGAATGGTAGGTAGAACATATCAATTTACAGACACTTAATCATATTTATCAGCTTAAAATTAATGCATTGTGTGGCCATTGGCTTCTCATCATACATACATTTATAGCCGATTTCTTTCCTGTTTCTTGATAAGTCAGTTCTCAAATCAGTATTTTATCCTTATGTGCTTCTTGATCATGATTTATGCTATAACCTGGGTATCATTTAATCTTGAGTATTGACCACTAATTTCATTCACATTCATTCAATATCAAATCTTTGTTTGAAGATTCGTTAAAATGGTTTAAAATTACCTCAAATCATCTAATTTGTACTTGTGTCTAGTTTAAAGCCGACCATTTAATTTTGATAACGAGTGTCCAATTTACAAGTATTTAATTTCCTAACCACTGCTCAAATGTTAATCATTATACATCAATAATCAGTTGAGTTGCTAAATACACAAGATTAAATGATACCTTTGGGTTGCAGTGTTAGTTATTGTGCCTAATTTCTATTATTGTCTTTATGAATTAGGGAGGAGCTGGAGCAGCTTTTACAAGGTTTCCTGGTTTCCATGGTAATCAAGGTACTAGACAATTGTTTTCTCCCAATTCTGCTTTTAGTCCTGTATTACCAGGTGGTAAGTCATATACTGTTTATATCCAGATAAAAAATTGCTGACAAATATTTTCACAAATTTTATTTTGGGAAAGGGACATTTCTTACTTTGCTTTTCAATACATGAAATTGGTTATAGCTGCGTGAACCCTTCAATTCAATTGAAAAGTGGCACCAGTTGTTGTAGAAAAAGTCCACACACCCGGGGGGTCATCACTAATACCACGATTGTTTGCACCAGATGCATAGGATTTTTTACATATAATTTCTCTGAATTACCCATCTTTTGCATAAACGGTATTTGTTTATTTCTTTTTCCAGCTCAACCAATGGGAAACCAAATGGGGAATCAGATGCCTCGTCCATTTCACATGCAGATGTTTCCAAGACATCCCTTTGCCCAACAACCAGGATATTCGAATCCACAGGGTTATAGACAGATGGGTAACTTTAACATGAGGGTAAACTTTAACCAGAGACCGCCAGCCAATCAGTTTCCTGGTAACAACCCTCAAATTCACACTGTATCCAATCAACATGCAAGTTACAGTCAAAGGGATCAGCATAGTAACCATAGAGACCAGCATAGTAACAATAGAGACAGTAACCCTAGAAACAATGTAGATATTAGTTCATCAACAGATAGTACTTCAAATCCTTTTATACCACTACAGGTAAACCAAACATAATATTATTAAAAATGAAATAGTAACTGCATGGGGACCACACCACACAAAAAAAACCTATTAATAAATTGAATTTGCTTCCACCCTTTTCTATGAAAATAATATATAGTATAAAGTAAGGCTGTTACATCAAAATTTAGCCCATCAGTCAAACTTTTATGCATTTTGGGATTAGCAAGATTTTTTTCGCAACAATTTTAAGTATTATTCTAATTTATATAGAAATTTCAAGAAATTTAAACCTTAATATACAATAAATACAATTAGATTTACAGTTTCTATGTATAATATATTTTTACATATAATCTAATCTGTCTGTAGACTGTTGACTACCTGTTAGAAACCTTCAAACATTTTATATTTGAATATTGTTGGGTTTTGTCTACAGGTAACAAAAAAACAGAAAACTCCACAAAAACGTCATAATTCTGGAGAACATCGTGCAGCTGCTGAAACAAGTGAAACTAGAATGTCTACGGAAGAAACCAAAACATCAACAGTCGGCAACAGACCCCAAAACAACAAACCTGCTACATCCAAAACACAAAAATCAGATCAACACCAAAAACAGAAACACACCCCACCAAGGGGCCAGAAAGGCCGCCGTACAAGAATAGCTGCTAATCTTAATTTTGAAAATTGTGCATAGGAAATAATAATTTGAAGAGACTAGAGTGCTAATTATTGTAAAGTGAAATCTGTTTTGAAGTTTAAAACAGTTCCAAATTTTACCTCAGATTTTGAATCTTAGTCCATTTTAGCCATTATGTCTGCCTGTATTCCCGAAGAAAGACTTAGCCGAAATGTTTTGTGATCATTTTTTTTATCTGTGAGTGATTGCGAAAGTCAGAGTCTCTGTTGTATTTCAGAGGCCCTATTAAATGTTTTATTACAATTACATAAGCTTACCCTCTTTTCAGGAATATAGGTTGAGGTACTGTACTCAATTATCACAATTTCAGTTGGTTTCTTTTGCTATCCCAATTTGTCCACAAAATAAAATGGATATTAAAAGGAAGACAGATTTGTCTTCTAATGATCATTTTACATAAAATTTAAGTTTGATTTGAAATACAAATCTTTTAATTTTATCTTTGGAGTGCTTTCCCATTTTTTTTTTTGTTGGTGCCAAAGTTTGTGATTTTAAGGGATTGTGAATTAGTTATGAGTATGTATATATTATCAAATAAACTGTATATAGCACTTTTAACGATCTCAAATTCAGAGACAGTATTTCATCGTTGCACACTTTGGAAAGGGTTATGTCAAAGTGAGATGTCAAAGGTCGAGGGAATAAGCCTTGTAACTGAGCATTGTAAATTGTTGAGTTTTCACCCTGGTGTGTTAAAATGTTTTAAAATGTGATAAATTCAAGGTGTAACTCGTGAGAATTCCTGGTGGTAAAATCTTGTGCCTTGTGGTCCCTGAACGATAACCTTGTTCAACTAGTGCTCTATAAGTTACGATGTTGCAGACTATTATCAAAGATGGCAGCACCAGACAGAGCCACATGACCCCATTTTCTGAGATATTAGGGTTTTGGGATATATAGGGAATGGATTGTGTTAGAAATTTCTATGTTTCGTACACACTTTTGTTAACTTTGTTTTATTTATATGTTTTATGTTTTGTTACATTAACAATAAGTTGATATTTTTATTTTAAGTTGTTATTTATTTTCTGCTGTCAAGATTTCAATCTGATTAAAACACAGATCTTGTTTCGTTTTGGTTTTTTCTGTTTGATGTTGGAGATTAGCCAATGAAATGGCCTGTTATGTCGAGCTTTGTGCAAGGTGTGGATGAAATTCTGAGAGTCCATTCAGACAAATTTCACCTGTATGACCCTCGACCTCCTACAAAAACAGGTCAGATCTATTTGTAGTGGAGGCCATCGAAAGTGTATATAAACAAAACGAAATTTGAATATGTATTTTTATCAGATTGTCAAGATTTATATGTTAATATAACACGAACTTTAAAATATATATTTGAAGATAAATGAAAATTGGAATAATTTTCACAACCAGTAATTTCCTCCAAAACAAATCTATCATTTGAAAAATTGTTAATACTATTAGCTTTATGATATAAGATCTATATGAAAGTGGCAGAACAATAAAATTATATTAAATGTACAATCAAATATTACTTGTTATGCTGTCAGTGTTTACATGGAAGATTAAAACTTGTGTGTATTAAATGATATTTTCTAATGAAATAATTTATATTCATAATTTTTACCTGGATCAAGCTCAAAGAATTTGATTGATACTGCCCGAAAGTATGATGCTTTTTAAGCTTGATTTGATGGCTTCAATATTAAATTGCATAGACTAGGAAAGATTGTGATCAAGGTAAATTCTGATTCAGTCTTTTATTTTAATAGAGATCCCGAGAGCTTAAATCAAAAACATCAATGAAGTCCAGCATGATTCCAGTAAATTTGTTGCAGTAAATTTGACTACTTTGGTACCCATGTCCATATAATTTTGGCCATTAAAGTACCTTTGCATTAAGCAAAGTTTTTGTTAATCACGGAACACCCATGGTTGCAAAGATAATTTTAAATGGAGTTTTAATTATATTAATCCCACTGCTAAAGACCCCTACGCGCAAGCGATTTATGTAAATAAAATTGAACCATATGTTAGTCCCGAAATGACCTAGTTTGTGTCGAGTGGACGTTAAACCCCATTTCTCTCTCTCTCTCTCTCTAATTATATTAACTAAGCTGGTCATTTAAGTCATTTGTGAAAGATCATTTTATTATCCATTTGTACATTATCATGAACATCTTATACATTCTTATTGTAATGATTATTTTAACGGAAAGTTGAGCTTTATTAATTATTTTTAAAAAACTTATATGTATTTCTTTCTCATCTTGAAAATAGGAAGTGGCATAGTTCATGTAATTGTTATTTTTTATAGAAATTTTGATAGAAAAATGATATACTATATGCGTGTTGTTCCTATGACTACTAGTGTGTCTTGTTAACCTTATTGCATTCTTGAAAATGTAGATTCATTGATTATAACCACATATACTAAAATGTCATCACTTAGTTTATCAATAATTGAAAAGAAACATAATGAGAGAAAAACAGCTATTAATGACATTGATTTTACTAATTTTGATTTGTGAAGACATTTTATTTGGTTCATTTACAGTAATCAGAAAACATCTTTAATCTTTTGTTAGTGGTGTAACCAGATTATTGCTGAGGAGGGAACACAGTCTTCAAACTTTCTAGGGACAACACCTTCCTAGTTCCCCACTCTGACTGCACTATTGCTACAATTTTTATGCTGCTGGTCAGTACAGGTGTATAAAGTGTGTCTGAAATCCACCTAAAATGGTAGTTTTGAATGTATCCTCATTTTTTTTTGCAGAAGAATGAAAAGCAGTTCTTATTTTTACCAGGAATTAGGTTCTTTATTTTAAGACACATATTGTTAGATATGAAACAATATATGCCATTAGTACAGACCAGAGCCAATTTCTCGAAAAATTAAAAATTGTTCATGGCTCAATAAAAAATAAATAGTTATGCAAGTTGATAGTATCCTATAATTATGTTTTTGAGAAGTATGTGCCAAGGGTCTATTTCTGGAAGTGATAATATTCCAATAGTCTAAAAATATGTTTAAGAAAGGCTTTTTAAACATGTCCTTTTATATGGTCATCCATGGCTATCGTAACAATTATAGTTGCAAAATAAATGAAATAAAGAAAGAAATACAAAGTGGAATACAATATTAAAAACAATATTTGAAATATAGAAAAAGTAGAAAACTATTTAATCTATTCTTCAATATTTGTTTACCTCCACCCCCAGCCTGAATTCTTATGATTACCATGGAAACCTTCCTTCTGTTTCTTATGTTAAATTGATTGGTGAGTAAACCTACTGATTTTATGTTTGTATATATAAAGATGATTATAGTATATTCTGTAAATAGTGTAATATATCCATTATGATGATGAAAAATATAATCAAATAAAACGTCTTTTCATTTTCTGCAGTGAGTTTTCATTTAAAGCTCATAGCCCACCCAGTACGAATTTATGCATCTGTCAAAAAAAGACAGATACCTGTAGTGGTAGTGTCAATATGGTTAATTATATAAAGACACCCATTAATGTTTGTGTTTGGAAGGCTAAAATTACATACTGCAAGTCTTCAACGAAAGCTTACTGCATAATGTCAGACCCTAGTGAAGATGGTAATTCGGGAAGACGTACTTAAATTAAAGCTTGACAATGCTTGTCCCGTTTGTGTGAAATCCCGTGTAAAAATCTCATGATATGAAATGTATAATTTCGTCAAATAAATATGAATTACAAGCCTGTTTATCCATTACAAACCATGTCTATAGTTTTATATTACAGTTGACACCTCGTGCATATATTCGAATCTTCAAAATTCAGTGGGGGGGGGGGGGCTTTTGTCTTAATTAAAAGATTACAAAACACCTTTCTGTTGATATTGATGTACATTTTGGAGGAGGTACAAGTTATATAGTGTTACTAAATCGGAAAAGTTACGTGGTCGACTAGGATCACATAAATAGACTTGATACGATATTTTAAACAATATACGGCAATCAGTGTAATTCTTTTAGTGCTGACTGGAGAAATATGTTTTATACTGTGGGGGTTTTGGAAACAATACGAGCCGCTTTAGACCTAACACAGATCCTTGGGGTACTCCAGTCACAAGAGAGCGAATCTGAAGCACAGTTGGCAATGACTACTTTCCGCGAACTAATAGCGAAATAGGATTCAACGTACAAACAGATACACCAAACTATTTAATACAACCCGTCTTCAGTAGCCCAGTCGAAGCAGAACAACAGTACGATGCTAAACTCCATTTTATTTGATACAAGTTTTATTAAAACACGTTTTTGAAGACGACATAATCGATCAAACTGTAAAGGGGTATTAACAATGAGGGCATTTAAAGGTGCTTTGACATCTAGACATAGCTTTGGTAACTTTGTTGGGATATACTAAGTTCACGAGACATGACTGCTGGAATGCTAATAAGATGTTTAGTTTCTTCATCAGTCCCTGGTTGAAAATTTGATATAAAATTGATATTAGCATTCTACTCACTGAGGTCGACCGACCGACCGAACTGGAATTGTGATTGTTTTAAGATATTGTATTTTCAAGACTTTACCATGAAAGAAATCTGAAAATCTTTAAGCTTGACATTAAAAGTAATCCCAATATTCAAATCTATTTAACTGTAAAAACTTAATTGCTCATTTTCCCGCCAGTCCTGTAAAACTAGACTACTTTAGACGTGCTTATTGGGTTAATCTCGCTGTAAAATGAACAAGCAGGGTTATGATAATAAATAGTTGAATAGCAGTGAGAGAGATTATCTGACGGTGTGTTGATTTCTATAAACGCTTCGTCTATCTTTTATCTATTGTTGTCGCTAGTAGTCAACTTATTTATACAACTACTCACTCACTGAAAGAGCGACCATAGATATACAACACCCCATAGCAACCTGTATATAAAGATTTTACACTGAGCTGTCAATACCATGCTGAAATAGAAAACCAGTGTGAGTGTAAAAAGGATAAAGGTAAATATAAAAGCAGGGATTAGTTTCTTTTTCTATTAATACTGTGTGATTAATATTACATCATTTTGGAGTTGTCAGCATGTGTAATAATAATCGGAAATAATACTATTAAAATTTTTAATAGAACTTGAATTTTATAAGTTCCTTGTTGAAAACTAATTAACATGTAAGCATATGCATCATATAATTCGGAAAACAGAGACGAAACAAAATTGAGATCAAATAATTGAAGCTATTTAAATACAGCATTAGATTTCTGTCAGAATTGGGGCCAGAGTTTGAAATCAAGTAACTATAGAAGTTTGATTTCTGTTAAGATGATGAATTGAATACTGGCTTATATATTCATTTGGTATTGTATAGGAAAAGTAGATCTCATTCATGATGATGATGTGTATGCCTTCTGTATCTTTATAATTCTAATCTCGATGAACAATAATGATTTTTTTGTAATTACTGTTATTTTGTTTTCTCTTTCCAGACAAACAAAAGATGGTATAACAAATATATTGTGTTTATCATTTTAAGTGTTGATAGTGTATTCTAAATGATAATGGATTATCCTGGATTATTGTAGTGTGTTTGGATTATAAAAGATAATAATGTCAATAAAACAGGTAAGTTCTAGGTTCATGAAAAATATTATATTTAAAGGGGTGATAGCAAAACATTTCAATCAACTTTTTAGTAAGTTATCATTTACAAAAATATACCCAGTGCAATACTTGTTTTCTCTATCCATACCCTGACATGATTTAATCTTCTTCAAAGTCACAGTTATCTTGGGTACACTCTACTCACTGTTTTTATGTAATCTGTACCCAACATTAATAACCAAACTTCATGCAATCCATAATTATTAACCACACTCTATAGTAGTCAACATTACTAACATCACATACTCTACACAAGATCACTATCAATCATCTATCATACATTTTTAAACAAATCCTACACAACAGTACTAATAATACTTTACAACAGCATTAACAATACTCTACACAGCAGCTCTAACTATACGTAACAGTACTGACTATACTCTACACAGCAGTATAACTATACTCTATGCAACAGTACTAACTATACTCTACACAACAGCACGGACTATACTCTACACAACAACACTGACTATAATCTACATAACAGTACTAACAATACTCTACATAGTAGCACTAACTATACATAACAGTACTGACTATACTCTACACAGCAGTACTGACTTTACACAGTATACTGACTATACTCTACAGAACACAACAGCACTAACTATACTCTACACAACAGTACTGACTATACAGCACTAACTATACTCTACACAACAGTACTGACTATACTCTACATAGTAGTACTTACTATACTCTACACAACAGCACTGACTATACTCTACACAACAGTACTGACTATACTCTACATAACAGTACTTACTATACTCTACACAACAGCACTGACTATACTCTACACAACATATGCCAAATTGTACTAAACCTACTTAATCTAACATTACTTAAAGATGATGCATTAGACATTTATTAACATGACAAGCCCATAATCAAATTTCTAGATCATCAGATGGCAGAGATTTAAATGGATGAGGACACCTGCGAGATTTCAATATTTAACAATAAAATGGACAAACAAGGCTAAGTCACTATTGTCCAGTGACAGTGCTGGCGATAATAAAAAAAATTGGTGCTACATCTTCGAAAACCCATAACTTTGTTCAGAATAAGGTAATTTTTCTGTAATTTTCAATATATTCATTTTTCATTGTCCATTTTTTAATCATTATAGCAAAAACGACCAGCTCTTTGTCTGAATCGTACATAATGCATCTTTAATTACTAAACATTGCTAACTACTGTCTATATTACATTACTTATACTAAACATCAACTACTCTCTAACTTTACTAGCCACATTATTTAAAAATTACATTATAATTAAACCCAACTTAACATCACTAACTACTCTATGGCTTTGGGTGTCTGAATGTGCTTTAGCTCAAAAAGTCTGTCAGTGAGTCAAGTGGCGTGGTTTCCATCCTACACTTGTATGTGACAAGGAGTAGTATTGCCTGCCTAACCCCAAAGGTTTTCTATGGGTCTTCCAGTTTCCTCCCACTTCTAAAGACTCTGTATGTACCAGTGAGTTATTGTTATAACTACTCTGAACTAACCACATTCTACAAAATACAATTTATTACACATTACTCACACTACTAAACAATACTTAGTGCACGGAACTAAACACATTCTTCTACACCTTATTAGCTATTTTTATTTTACACCCATTGCCTACTTAATACCATGATAAAGATGTATCCTATTTACCAGAAAAGAACATCTATTTGATTATTTGGAAGCTTTTAAATTTTATTTCCTGTTTGTGTGTATAATGGTAAATTGGATGCAGTGAAGTGTGACTGATTATACAATAAGATTATGTTTATTGTTTAATCAGGAAACCAGGTAAACACTCAGGTAATCAGATTGATTGAGTTGAACCAGCTGAACAACCTATCCTAATATTGAAGATTACATTAAAACAAACAATGTTATAGAAGAGCAGTGAGATAATGCACTAATAAAATCTAGTATTGATCCATGCAAGAATAGTAGGTTTTATTAATGCATTGATACATACAAGAATATTATGATGAAGGAAGAAGCTGACCTGCCCTCAAGAAAGAGATTTCTAACACCATGTTTTAAAGTGACATTTTTATATACTAGAACTGTTTTATGTTTTTACCCATTTCTTTAAATACTCCTCCATATGCGAATCTTTATTAAATCAACATGTCTATAATATCATGTATAATATATCGGAAACTTTGTCTATCTTTTATCTTTTGTTGCAATAAACAACACCAGCAACATGCAAGAACCCATCAAGTTTATACTGAGCTATTTTATCTATTGGAATTCTGTGTGCTACTGCTATTTCAGACATGGTGCTACAGATATTTTGGAAATGGTATCATATGCTTTTGACAATGGTGTCTTACCATTCTGACAGTGCTGTATTACCATTCTGACAGTGCTGTGTTTCCATTCTGACAGTGCTGTGTTACCATTCTGACAGTGCTCTCTCACCATGCAGACATTGCTGACTTAGATATGCTTGTAGAAGTATTAAGGAGGTCTATAACTGGCTTTCATTATGGTCATATTTTCCCATGTTGACTGCTGAGGGGTTAATTTGTCCTGTTGGCATATTTACTTGTTAAGCGGCGTTTACACGATACAACCAATCCATACAACCGTCGGATGCAACATATTGGACGACCGTTTACACGATACAATGGTTCTATTCGTTGTATGGCAACATTTATTCCTTCTTAGTAACTGAATAAAATGGCAGTAAGACGACACTTCTCACCCCCGTCTTCGTGTAGTGTTGATGCCGTTGGTTCAACAAAGACCTTGCTTCCTATACAGAGTTATTAGATTTTCTAATTCAGTCCAGGATAGGTTTAGATCCATGTTAGAGGACATCAAAGTACTCGAAGCGTCAGAAGAAGACATCTTTAATCAGGAATTCTGGTTGCCAAGTCAGATATGACATTCATACGGCGTATGACGTTGTCTAATATAACGCACTTTGATTGGCTATTGCATGAGTTGGTCGGATGAGAATAGAACTGATCCTATCCATGCAATAAGTCGTCCATCCGACCATTTGTCTGATCAGTTGGTCGGATGCGACGGTTGTATGGATTGATTTTATCGTGTAAATGCCGCTTTAGTCATTTTATATGCCATACAATTTATCCATAAAACACAACAAATATGGCTACATTTACAGTTATGATGTACAAATACACTTAGCAACTGATTTATAAATTTACAAATAATTTGCCAAAATGTGATTATCAAAATCTGAAAAAAGAATCCTGGTGTCTTACCCCTCTAGTAGAGAGAGGGAGGGAGAGAAATGGGGTTTAACGTCCACTTGACACGAACTAGGTCATTTCGGGACTAACATATGGTTTAATTTTATTTCAATAATTCGCTTGCACATAGAGGTCCTTAGCAGTGGGAGGAAACCGGAGAACCCGGAGAAAACCCACGAGGTTGGACAGGTAACCCTTTTCCTTATCACGTACAACCGGGGATTCGAAACCACGCCACTTAACTCAATGACAGGCTTTATGATACAGCGCGCACATGCTAACCATTCGGCCATCCCCCCCCCCCACCCTATTCTAGCAATTGGGTGTTTTATATTTGACAATAGTCTTGTAACCTTTACGGCACTGGTGTCTGATCATTTTTACAATGATTTCTTATCATTTTGGTAGTGGTATCTCACAATTTTCATGGTGGTGTCAGTCTTTATAGCTTGGTCATAGTGTCCTACTATTTTGGAAACTGCTTCCTATTATTCTGGAAATAACGTTCTTCTCTCTGACCTTGTTGTCTTACCATTCTGGCTACTGTGTCATATTATTCTGGCAGTGGTATCCTACTATATTGGCAGTGGTGTGTTACTAATGGTAATGGTGTCTTATCGTTCTAGCTATGGTGTCTAAATTAATATTCCAGCAATGATGTCTTGCTATTGTGGCAATTGTATATTACCATTCTAATAGTGTGTCCAACTTTTTAGGCCAATTGGTTATTTCTTTCATTTATTTTACAGGGTATCCAGCATCGTGTGCTGGTAGCTCAACCAAATGAGTTTGAATTAAAACACCGACCAGATTTTATCACTCATCTACCACCACTTAGTGCTAAACCGGTAAGTTAAATTTAAATTACTTATTCATAAAACTCCCAGGAGATTATATTTTAACCTTCAATTCTTCATCTGATAAATCTTATGCGCTAATATTAATGAAAACCCTTTAAGTGTTGGGTAATTTTTTTGATGGAACTCTTTATAATCTGATTAAATCCAAGCCACAAGATTATTTACTGTCGATATTTTTTGCGTTTTGTTTTCTTAATTAAATGTTAAATAATCGATATGAATACATTTTAGTTTGAATTAAGCAGTGAAAAATTAGATATTGTCTGAAATATATCAATGACTAACAGCAGCTTTAAGTTTGTCATTTGAAAAAAACTGTCACAACCCTTATATTACTGAACACACTGCACATGCCATACAGGCAGTGTCTGTGGTGAACCGATTCTGATATCTACCAGTACTCCAGTCTTCTAGTACTTTCTTCCTGCTCTCAAAATGATTACCAAACCTTTAAAATGTTGAATTCAGGAAGTAAGATTTCAAGTCATACGTACCTAGCAACACCAATGGACAAAAAATGTAAAAAGCTTTTGTAGTGAATTGAGATTTGAGTACAGCTTTGTTTTAAATTTTAAAAAAATGATATACACTGCTTATTACATGAGTTTGTTAAGGACAAGTTGAATAAGTAATCACCATAATATTAACTATGTATTATCTGCATTGATTAATCAATATAAACAAAACCAAAATAATAGATAATGGATACTTTGTGTATTAAGAAAGTTCTATTTTATTTCTGTAATAATTCAACACAAATCAATGAGAAATATTATATAATCAGTAATAAATGGGTAAAAATATTCATAACCATGCTCACAAAGTATTGTCATAAATATAACAAACTTATAGTAATCTTTTAGTCAATTTGAGATATGACTTGGAATTTGTTAAGCAACTTAAAGGAGCTAAATCTGCTAAATCTCTTAAATTTAGGTCAAAATAAACGGTTAATCTGATATGTTATTTCGATTAGTAATTGGGAAAACTATGTAAATTTGAATTTTCATCTGGAAAGAATGATAAGAAGTTGGATTTTTTTTTTTAATTTTAGTATCAATTTTGGCTTAAATCAGTACTTGAACACACATTTGGCTGTATCTAAACTAAACATTGTTTTTTTGAAAGAGTCTAAAATTTTGATAAGATAAATCAAAACACAAAATGTAATCCAATCAATAATTTTATTTTTCTTATCTAAATCAAAGATAGGGAGCTATTTTAATTTTAGTCTGGTAACATTATTGCTTTTCTTGGGGGGGGGGGGGGGGAGGTGGCGAACCTTTCTGGTGGAGTGGGCGGGGACACAAGGATGTGCTAAGCACTTTTCAAACCTTCTTTTGCAGGGAATTTATTTCTAACATTTGTTTTTGTGATACACTCACTTTAGAATTTAGTTGTACATTGCCATAACTTCTGTCTTTCGCCCACACCCTCTATTGAATACTTATATGCTTTCTTTAGTGACACAAAGAAAGATGTCAAATTTCCAACAAAAGTCTGAGTTATTGCCCTTGATCACATCATGAAATATTGTAAACTCTGTAGGGACAAAATTTATCAGCCAATTTAAGACCCCAATTGTTTTGAATTTATTAATGATCTTCATATTTAATGATGTTCTAAATCTTTTTTGAGAAGAACTGGTACCGTGTTCAACTAGGAGGTAAATTAAAAAACACAACACAATTTATATGGAATACAATTACTGGTTAATCCACATATAGCACAATGTTTCGACAAGTATTCTCTTATCGTTATCAAGTACAAATGATTGTACTTGATAACGATAAGAGAATACTTGTCGAAACGTCGTGCTATATGTGTATAATCCAGTGATAGTATTCCATATAAATTGTGTTGTGTTTTTTAATGTGCTCAATCACTAAATGCCACTCAAGGATTATAAGCAAGTAAATTGTTGTTGTAGTTTGGTGTTCCAAGAATGGTAACCTAAACCTGGTTGCTGACTGCAAAGGGCCCACATAGAGTTCAAGCTTTAGGGCCCCAAAAATGTAGGTTTGCCCCAGAGCGCATTGACTTAATGTTCAACATTATTTACTTTAAATCCACCCTTCTAATTTAAACAGTTGTCAATCCAGACTAAAAAAAAAAAAAAATCTTTTATAAAGAAAAAAAAAGTTTTGATATATTCTCCTTTAACCATTATTTACATAACCTCCAAATATTTATGTGTAAATGATTTATTGAGAAATATACCTAGGCATATTGAAGTACCTTATCAATATGTACTCTTTATATATAACTACAGTCAATAAATCAGTATAATACTTAATAGATCTTAGTTTAACATATAACTTATCCTAGAGATATAAAATATTAAAATAGAAGAAAAAAAATATCAAAAAAATTTCAAAAAAATTAATAATAATACATACATTGTGATTGATTTTAAAGAGTGCAATCATTATGAAATGAAATGAAATGAAATGAAATGGGGTTTAATGTCCTACTGTTCTGCTCCAACGGGGCTAATGAAGACAGGCATAAAACCATACAGTGTGCCCTGAGGAAAATTTTGCTCGGACAGTGGTGCTATGCTCTACTCTTATATCGAATCCCAACTGCCAAGGGTTCTTTTTCGTAGACACCCATGTGTACACAGGACCTTGGTTTTTCTATATGTTGCCCCTTGTGGGGTCCTCTGTCCTGCACCACTGACAATGGGGAACCACACCAGAAAATCTAGATGAACTTTCTCGGCCAACACTGGGATCGAGCACGAAACCTCCAGGTTAGCAAGCCAACATCTTACACAAACATTGGATTGGACTTGTGGTTTACAAAGAAAGCTGATCTTTGACTAATCAGCTATGACGTCTATAACATGTGGGATGAAAAATATAGGTATCTAACCAATAGGCTACTACCTTGTTGTAAACCTTCAGATAAGACGTATTGATACATGGATAAAACATACAATACAAGAAAGATATGTTGTCGATAAATTTCATATTTTAACAGATTGGGGGGAGATTGAAATAGGAGAATGGAGGGAGTGGGAAGGGGAGAGGGGTACACTACCCATTTACGATACACTGTTTAATTGACAAACTGTTTTAACAACGTTTAATAACTTCTGTTGCCAGATCAAGATCAATGACTTGAATTATCTTGAGGACTTTGTTTAACTAGTGATACAACTATTAGTATAGGTAACAACCAAAAAATACAATTAACATAACACTAGCAAGTAGTCATAACAACCAAACTACTGACTGTATTTGTCTTTTCAAAATTAGAGAACAATAGGGCTATACTATATACCAGAAAAACACCGAAAAACACCGGAAAACAATGGAAAACTACCGGAAAACTACCGGAAAACAACCGGAAAACACCATGTTATACTGAATACCGGAAAACACCGGAAAAACACTAAATACCAGAAAACACACTAAATACCGGAAAACATCCTGCATAGGTAACTCAGAACCTGGCCCTCTGGAAAACACGGGAAAAACCTGACCCTAAACCTAACCCACTGCTGGTCCTCTGGAAAACACCGGAAAAACCTAACCCTACCAACAATAACCCTAACTCTCCGCAAACATAGGATCAGGCTCTTTGTACCTATTTAGGGTGTTTTCCGGTATTTAGTGTGTTTTCCGGTATTTAGTGGTTTTCCGGTGTTTTCCAGTATTCAGTATAACACAGTGTTTTCCGGTTGTTTTCCGGTATTTTCCGGTTGTTTTCCGGTATATTGTATTGCCGAGAACAATATGTAATGATTAGGACTATATTGTGGATCTTTCTGTTAATGATGGATATGCTACTTCATATTACAGTATAACAAATTGTCATGTAACATTATAATTAATGGATAAAATTGGAGTCGGATAAAATTTTGTTTTACCATATTAAATACAAAATTGCCTAAGTAAAATGATGTACAATGTTCCTATAAAGGCCTTAAACATCACTTTATCATTTAATTCATTGCACTAAATTTATTATTGCCTAAGTAAACTGATGTACTTATAAAGACCTATAATGGCCTTAAACATCCTTTAGTCATTTAATTCATTACACTAGATTTATTATTAAACATAACAGAGAAATTATTGTGAAGTACTATCAAAAGAATCACAGTAATAGTTTTCCTTCTTCTTGTTGACAGGTTTAACATCCATTTTCACCCATGGTGATATCACAGACAATACAGTAATAGTTAATAGATCTTTCTTTAAATAAAAAAAAACAACATGATCAAATGTTACATAGTTAATAGATCTTCCTTTAAACCCGTCTTCTTTAGCCCAGTTGGAACAGAACAGTAGGACGTTAAACTCCATTCATTTCATTTCTTCCTTTAAATAAAATAAGTACAATCGTACTATGGACCAGGAACTGACCATGTTGGATGAAATTCAAAAATCTAATTTACCAAATCAATGCATAATGGTTCAAAGAACAAGCATGCCAATTTTCATGTCTATCGGACCCGAATTGACGGAACTTTACGATTTTCCGAAGAGCGCCACCCAAGAAGAACAAGACGAAGAAGAACAAGATGAGAAGCGGTTAGCGACCAGTTCCTTGCTAAAAAAAAAACAACACTATCAAATGTTACATGATTAATAAATGTTCTTTTAAATAAAAACAAAACTATTAAATGTTACATAGTTAATAGATCTTCCTTTAAATAAAAAAAAACATGCAAAGAGTTTACGTAGGTATAGCTTATCTATGAGACAAGAAGATATTATTATCATCATGTTTCCTAGTTATTATCAAGTATTGACAACTTTCTTACCATAGATAAAAGGGTTTCAATAACCTCTTTAAATATATTAAAACTGTCTCTTACCTTTTTATGTCTACCTGATAATCCATTAAGTTGCCTTTTTTCCAAATCTTATCTTGACACATGTGTTGAAAAGAATTCAGAGCTCCTGGACGTGGGCTTAATACGGAGTATTTCAAGTCTATATAATGACCTATCACCTGAAATTATAATATTAAAA